TTTCGAGTTCTCAACACTCCCTCACTCCTCCTCCTCCCCTCAGTCTCTCAAGGCCTCACCTCAGTCCCAGCTTCCAGCACGTCTGCCTCTGCTTGTAGCTGCTTAATCCTCCCCCACTCCACACTCCCCTAATCTCGAAAGCCTCCCTCACTCCCCTTCCCTCTTCCGTTCAACTCCCCTACCTCACTCGAGTTCTCACCTCATTGCTTGCCTCTAGCGTGTCTGTTTCTGCGTACAGCTGCTTAATCCTCTTCTCCACCTCTGGTACTTGCTGCAGGGGATGAACGTGAGAGAGAGAGAGAGAGAGAGAGAGAGAGAGAGAGAGAGAGAGAGAGAGAGAGAGAGAGAGAGAGATAGAGAGAGAGAGAGAGAGAGAGAGAGAGAGAGAGAGAGAGAGAGAGAGAGAGAGGAGAGGGGGAATGCAGGGAAGGGGTGAAGAGGATCGAGTAAAAAAAAGACATCCACGCACACACATGCACCTTGTCCTGTTGGGAAGAGTGCTTTTACCCTCCACTCTCCATTTCCAACTCTCCACTCTCCACACACACATGTACATACCCTGTCGTGTTGGAACTGGTGAAATGAATGGGCGATGACATGCTCTGCGTTGGACTGCCCCTCAGCTCGAGCCATGAGGTTCAGCAACGCGTAGCATAGTAGGTCAGGCAGCAACTCACACACATACCCACCAACCAAGCCACGCACAGAGGCACGAACCCAGTTGTGCTGAAACTGGTGGAAGGAGTGCGCAATGACGTGCTCCGCGTTGAACTGCCCCTCGGCTCGAGCCATGAGGGGAAGGGGTTGATACCTAACCTGCGGCCTCTGCTATGCTGAGGCACGCACTCTGTCGTGCTGGAACTGGTGGAAGGAGTGTGCAATGACGTGCTCTGCGTTGAACTGCCCCTTGGCTCGAGCCATGAGGTGCAGCAGCGCGTAGTAGGTCAGGCGGAAGGAGCTCTGGTATAGTGGGTCAGAAGTCACATCACTCACACACGCACGCACACACATACACACATACCCTGTCGTACTGGAACTGGTGAGACAAATAGGGCAATCACATGCTTTGCGTTAAAATGCCCCTCGGCTTGAGCCATGAGGTTGAGCAGTGCGTAGTAGGTCAGGCAGAAGGAGCTCTCTACAGGGGCAGGCCTCCCCAGCATCATCTCTTTACATGCCTCCATGGTCATCTGGGGGAGGAGGACACAAGCCACATATGATTCAACTCATACTGAGCCATGAGGTTGAGCAGCGCGTAGTAGGTCAGGCGGAAGGAGCTCTCTACAGGAGCAGGCCTCCTCAGCATCATCTCCTTGCATGCTTCAATTGTCATCTGAGAATAGGGTGAGAATGGGAGTAGTCGGGTTGGCTGAGGCTGCAAAATGGAATATCATTCGTTATTTCATCCTGAAAATATCCTGAAACGAATCATGGGATTTGGTGAACCAGCATGTGCTTTTGAGACTGTTTGAGGTGACATGATTCCAAGTAGCCAATACGTGCCCATACCATGTAGTGTGATGTGTAATGTGATGTGCATGGTGATCACATAGGGCACTTTTCTTACCTCCTCATTGACCATCACGATGACAATTTCTTTGCTGTCCTTACCTCGCCGCCCTGCTCGCCCACTCATCTGATGAGAAGTGGGGGGAGTTGGGAAATGGAGACGAGAGAGGGGGAGAGGGGAGAGAGGGAAGGAAGGTTCAAGGCACCTCAAACCGTTTCCAAACGCTCGTCAAAAGCAGTTTCTGAGATGCCAAAAGCATGAGTCCTGAGATGAGGTATTGAGGTCCCACACGCGTTGCTGCGCGCATACGCCCCAGCACACACACACACACACACACACACACACACACACACACACACACACACACACACACACACACACACACACACACACACACACACACACTATGCAGAAAACACCTCAATGTTATTTCAGAGTAGACATGTAATGTAACACAATTCCTGATGTGCCAAGGGAATCCATCACACTATTCAAACAGAACTGTGGCCCAAAGAAGGATTTATATATATATGTATATATATACATATATATGTGTGTGTAACATGCACCCCCCACATCTACCCGCAACACAACCTGCTCTTACCCGCTTCTCAAATGCTCATGTTTGGTCTTTAAAGTTGGTAGCATATATGCAGAACCTATCAACTGGCACTAAATTAATAATGCACGAGGCACACTAAGCATGTCAAATAAATCGATATGTACAATAGGGTTTGCATACGGCGTCTCAGTGCATCGTGCCTACAGAATAGAAGTAAGGATAGTGCGCATTCAATTTCACCTGAAATGCGTTCGAAGTTCTGTTGCATCTCACACCAAAACGGATTGAATGATCAAATACGCTTCAAACAGGGAGGCAGCAGGTGCTGCTAACGTCGCTTGGGCTCAGGGAGGGAAAGATAACCTCAGCAGATGTAGCAGGCACTACATGACAATACGGATCAGTGAGATTTAGCATGGTGTGCGCGTTGGGAGCAATGGGGACGGGGGGTTTAGGGTGATGGTGGGGCACTTGGTGGTGTTGATTGTGAGGCTGCTGGTTGGGTTGTTGGTGGGGTTGCTGATGGTGCAGCTGTGGGCTCTGCAGGTGACGAAATCGGTGGTGGGATGAAAAGCGAGGGTCTTGAAACGTCTGCTGATAGGGTTGGTGGCAGGGCTTCTGCTGGGGATCCTGGTGGTGCTGGTGGTGGTGATGATGGGTACGTAGTTGGGAAAAGCGTTGGTGAACCTGCTCATAGGGTTGGTGCCAGGGCTGCTGCTGGTGGGTAAGCTGGTGGGGTTGCTGGTCGTGCTGCTGGTGCGGTTGGTGCCAGGGCTGCTGGTTGGACTGCTGGTGGGGCTGCTGGTGGGGCTGCTGGTGGGGCTGCTGGTGGTGCTGCTGGTGGGACTGCTGGTGGGGCTGCTGGTGGTGCTGCTGGTGGGACTGCTGGTGGGGCTGCTGGTGGTGCTGCTGGTGGGGCTGCTGGAGGATCTGCTTCTTGATATGTACAGACTCAAGGTGCTGAAGAGAGGGAAAACCCAAGGGCTTTTGGTTTGAGAGCAGGTCTGCTGATATCACTTGTTCACTGGTGTCACCATTCACCGCCTGCTGCGGCTGCTGCTGCTGCTGCTGCTGCTGCTGCTGCTGCTGCTGCTGCTGCGGCTGTGGCTGCTTCTGGACCAGTTTCTGTGCTTCCAAGTCCTCATGCAAGCCAAAGCAGCTATCATCACCACCAACACCACCACCATCACCATCACCACCACCACCGTACCCATCACCATAACTGTCGACATCACCACTAAACCCACTACTCCCAGGAGGCATACAGTTGAGGTCAAAGGATGGCACAACGGCACTCTCCAACCCCACTTGCTCATTCCCTGTTCTGGCCCACTTCATCCCGTTTCCAGTATGTCCAGTACCCACTTCCCCAGAGATACAGACAAGGTGATAATCACTAGTGTTACTCCCACCATTAACCTCCTCTCCTGCTGTCTCGACAACCATCTTGCATCCATCCATTTTTACCTGATTCGCATTCTGATTGACAGCACTGGTCGCACCTGCAGCCTGCTTACAGCCCCCGCTCCCCTCTGCGCCACCCTCTTTCGCCTCTCCTTCCAGATCCCCTCCACTCTCACCTGCACCATCCCCTTCTGCCTCTCCTGCCCCATCCCCTCTACTCTCCCCTGCTCCATCCGTTTCCCTCTCTCTGGCCCCATCGTCTCCTTCCTGATCCACATTCTTCATTGCTCCATCTGCTTCTCCCGTCTTCCCAACAGCCCCTTGGTCTGTGTCGCAGGGTTGGTCCATATCCAAGGCTGCATGAAATTCGCTTGGCATAGTGTCTGGGAAACTCACTGTGATCCTGGTGCAGTTGCCACCAACACCGCCAGTGCCATCGCTACCAGTGCCACCACTACCACCACCACCGTCACTGCCACCACCACTGCCACTGCCACCACCACTGCCACTGCCACCACCACTACCACTGCCACCACCGCTGCCACTGCCACCACCACTACCACTGCCACCACCACCATCACTGCCACCACCACTGCCACTGCTACCGCCAATGCCACTGTCACCACCACTGGCACTGCCACCGCTGCTGCTCGTCCTCCCCACACACTCTATAGGCCCACCACTGCCCTTCAATTCACCACTCAAGTTGCTTGCAGAGGGTTTCAACCCACATGGAGACGGCACCAAGTCATTTTGATAGCTGGACCACACTTTGGGCTCGCCCAACTCCACATCTCTCCTCCTCTCCAGCTCTGAAAGAGATTCTTCGCTGCTTTCCGCCCTCTGAACGTCCTCGCCCTTCAGCTCTACAACCATGATGTCTTGCTGCTGTGACTTGCACTCCTCCTCCTCCTCCCCCCTCTCCTCCTCCTTTCCACACCTGGCCTGACCTAACCGCTGCCTTTTGTTGCTGTCTGCACCAGTCTTGAAGAGTGCTTGCACCTTCTTTCTGTCAGTTTCCGTGCCATTCTGAGCGCGCATGCCATTGCGGTTGCTCCACTCATTGTCCCAATCTTTGCTGACTCGTTGCTCCTTTGCCTTTGCGAATTCTTGCGGCCGTATCTGAACTTCGCCCTGGCTCCCTTTCCGCTTCAACTGCCAGGTAACGGCACAGGGGACAGGAAACAGTATTTTAGGAAAGAGAAACAGTTTTTTGAGATGACTGAAAATTACTCTGTTTCACCTGCCGGGTAATGGCACTTGCGACAGAAATCAGGAGGTCAGGAAAGAAGAAAAAACGGTTTTTGAGCTGTCTCGAAATACTCTCAGCTTCACCTGCCAGTCTGGCACAGGGGACAGGGATCAAGATGGCAGGAAAGAAAAAACACTTTCTTGAGCTGACTAGAAACAGCAAGAATTGGCCAAGGGAACAGAGATCAAGATGTCTCTGAAAAAATAAGGTATTTGAGCTGACTATGATATATTATTTGCTCCACCTGCCAGGTAACGGTACAGGGGACAGAGATGAAGTCGTCACAAGAAGAAGAAGAAGAAGAAGAAGAAGAAGAAGAAGAAGAAGAAGAAGAAGAAGAAGAAGAAGAAGAAGAAGAAGAAGAAGAAGAAGAAGAAGAAGAAGAAGAAGAAGAAGAAGAAGAAGAAGAAGAAGAAGAAGAAGAAGAAGAAGAAGAAGAAGAAGAAGAAGAAGAAGAAGAGAAGAAGAAGAAGAAGAAGAAGAAGAAGAAGAAGAAGAAGAAGAAGAAGAAGAAGAAGAAGAAGAAGAAGAAGAAGAAGAAGAAGAAGAAGAAGAAGAAGAAGAAGAAGAAGAAGAAGAAGAAGAAGAAGAAGAAGAAGAAGAAGAAGAAGAAGAAGAAGAAGAAGAAGAAGAAGAAGAAGAAGAAGAAGAAGAAGAAGAAGAAGAAGAAGAAGAAGAAGAAGAAGAAGAAGAAGAAGAAGAAGAAGAAGAAGAAGAAGAAGAAGAAGAAGAAGAAGAAGAAGAAGAAGAAGAAGAAGAAGAAGAAGAAGAAGAAGAAGAAGAAGAAGAAGAAGAAGAAGAAGAAGAAGAAGAAGAAGAAGAAGAAGAAGAAGAAGAAGAAGAAGAAGAAGAAGAAGAAGAAGAAGAAGAAGAAGAAGAAGAAGAAGAAGAAGAAGAAGAAGAAGAAGAAGAAGAAGAAGAAGAAGAAGAAGAAGAAGAAGAAGAAGAAGAAGAAGAAGAAGAAGAAGAAGAAGAAGAAGAAGAAGAAGAAGAAGAAGAAGAAGAAGAAGAAGAAGAAGAAGAAGAAGAAGAAGAAGAAGAAGAAGAAGAAGAAGAAGAAGAAGAAGAAGAAGAAGAAGAAGAAGAAGAAGAAGAAGAAGAAGAAGAAGAAGAAGAAGAAGAAGAAGAAGAAGAAGAAGAAGAAGAAGAAGAAGAAGAAGAAGAAGAAGAAGAAGAAGAAGAAGAAGAAGAAGAAGAAGAAGAAGAAGAAGAAGAAGAAGAAGAAGAAGAAGAAGAAGAAGAAGAAGAAGAAGAAGAAGAAGAAGAAGAAGAAGAAGAAGAAGAAGAAAAGAAGAAGAAGAAGAAGAAGAAGAAGAAGAAGAAGAAGAAGAAGAAGAGAAGAAGAAGAAGAAGAAGAAGAAGAAGAAGAAGAAGAAGAAGAAGAAGAAGAAGAAGAAGAAGAAGAAGAAGAAGAAGAAGAAGAAGAAGAAGAAGAAGAAGAAGAAGAAGAAGAAGAAGAAGAAGAAGAAGAAGAAGAAGAAGAAGAAGAAGAAGAAGAAGAAGAAGAAGAAGAAGAAGAAGAAGAAGAAGAAGAAGAAGAAGAAGAAGAAGAAGAAGAAGAAGAAGAAGAAGAAGAAGAAGAAGAAGAAGAAGAAGAAGAAGAAGAAGAAGAAGAAGAAGAAGAAGAAGAAGAAGAAGAAGAAGAAGAAGAAGAAGAAGAAGAAGAAGAAGAAGAAGAAGAAGAAGAAGAAGAAGAAGAAGAAGAAGAAGAAGAAGAAGAAGAAGAAGAGAAGAAGAAGAAGAAGAAGAAGAAGAAGACAGAAGAAGAAGAAGAAGAAGAAGAAGAAGAAGAAGAAGAAGAAGAAGAAGAAGAAGAAGAAGAAGAAGAAGAAGAAGAAGAAGAAGAAGAAGAAGAAGAAGAAGAAGAAGAAGAAGAAGAAGAAGAAGAAGAAGAAGAAGAAGAAGAAGAAGAAGAAGAAGAAGAAGAAGAAGAAGAGAAGAAGAAGAAGAGAAGAAGAAGAAGAAGAAGAAGAAGAAGAAGAAGAATGAAGAAGAAGAAAAGAAGAAAGAAGAAGAAGAAGAAGAAGAAGAAGAAGAAGAAGAAGAAAGAAGAGAAGAAGAAGAAGAAGAAGAAGAAGAAGAAGAAGAAGAAGAAGAAGAAGAAGAAGAAGAAGAAGAAGAAGCAGGAGAAGAAGAAGAAGAAGAAGAAGAAGCAGAAGAAGAAGAAGAAGAAGAAGAAGAAGAAGAAGAAGAAGAAGAAGAAGAAGAAGAAGAAGAAGAAGAAGAAGAAGAAGAAGAAGAAGAAGAAGAAGAAGAAGAAGAAGAAGAAGAAGAAGAAGAAGAAGAAGAAGAAGAAGAAGAAGAAGAAGAAGAAGAAGAAGAAGAAGAAGAAGAAGAAGAAGAAGAAGAGAAGAAGAAGAAGAAGAAGAAGAAGAAGAAGAAGAAGAAGAAGAAGAAGAAGAAGAAGAAGAAGAAGAAGAAGAAGAAGAAGAAGAAGAAGAAGAAGAAGAAGAAGAAGAAGAAGAAGAAGAAGAAGAAGAAGAAGAAGAAGAAGAAGAAGAAGAAGAAGAAGAAGAAGAAGAAGAAGAAGAAGAAGAAGAAGAAGAAGAAGAAGAAGAAGAAGAAGAAGAAGAAGAAGAAGAAGAAGAAGAAGAAGAAGAAGAAGAAGAAGAAGAAGAAGAAGAAGAAGAAGAAGAAGAAGAAGAAGAAGAAGAAGAAGAAGAAGAAGAAGAAGAAGAAGAAGAAGAAGAAGAAGAAGAAGAAGAAGAAGAAGAAGAAGAAGAAGAAGAAGAAGAAGAAGAAGAAGAAGGAAGAAGAAGAAGAAGAAGAAGAAGAAGAAGAAGAAGAAGAAGAAGAAGAAGAAGAAGAAGAAGAAGAAGAAGAAGAAGAAGAAGAAGAAGAAGAAGAAGAAGAAGAAGAAGAAGAAGAAGAAGAAGAAGAAGAAGAAGAAGAAGAAGAAGAAGAAGAAGAAGAAGAAGAAGAAGAAGAAGAAGAAGAAGAAGAAGAAGAAGAAGAAGGAAGAAGAGAAGAAGAAGAAGAAGAAGAAGAAGAAGAAGAAGAAAGAAGAAGAAGAAGAAGAAGAAGAAGAGAAGAAAGAAGAAGAAGAAGAAGAAGAAGAAGAAGAAGAAGAAGAAGAAGAAGAAGAAGAAGAAGAAGAAGAAGAAGAAGAAGAAGAAGAAGAAGAAGAAGAAGAAGAAGAGAAGAAGAAGAAGAAGAAGAAGAAGAAGAAGAAGAAGAAGAAGAAGAAGAAGAAGAAGAAGAAGAAGAAGAAGAAGCAAGAAGAAGAAGAAGAAGAAGAAGAAGAAGAAGAGAAGAAAGAAGGAAGAAGAAGAAGAAGAAGAAGAAGAAGAAGAAGAAGAAGAAGAAGAAGAAGAAGAAGAAAGAAGAAGAAGAAGAAGAAGAAGAAGAAGAAGAAGAAGAAGAAGAAGAAGAAGAAGAAGAAGAAGAAGAAGAAGAAGAAGAAGAAGAAGAAGAAGAAGAAGAAGAAGAAGAAGAAGAAGAAGAAGAAGAAGAAGAAGAAGAAGAAGAAGAAGAAGAAGAAGAAGAAGAAGAAGAAGAAGAAGAAGAAGAAGAAGAAGAAGAAGAAGAAGAAGAAGAAGAAGAAGAAGAAGAAGAAGAAGAAGAAGAAGAAGAAGAAGAAGAAGAAGAAGAAGAAGAAGAAGAAGAAGAAGAAGAAAGAAGAAGAAGAAGAAGAAGAAGAAGAAGAAGAAGAAGAAGAAGAAGAAGAAGAAGAAGAAGAAGAAGAAGAAGAAGAAGAAGAAGAAGAAGAAGAAGAAGAAGAAGAAGAAGAAGAAGAAGAAGAAGAAGAAGAAGAAGAAGAAGAAGAAGAAGAAGAAGAAGAAGAAGAAGAAGAAGAAGAAGAAGAAGAAGAAGAAGAAGAAGAAGAAGAAGAAGAAGAAGAAGAAGAAGAAGAAGAAGAAGAAGAAGAAGGAATGGATGATCCTTCAGGAAGCAGGGGACAAAGGGGAGAAGGTATGAACACCAGTGTAGGATGATTGAGCTGGTTCAAGATGGATAAGTAGGTGGCGATGCAAAGAGTGCCATGCTGGAATCAGGCGCGCAAAACAAAGACCTAACTTTCTAGAAATAGATCATGAAATAAATCTAGGAAGCCGCGATAGGGAAGAAGAGTGAACAGGGTTGGGCGAGGAAGAAAAGCGGACAAAGGAAAGGGGCGAGGGGGAAAAAGAAAGGAGGAAGGTGCAGAAAAATAGTAGTATTTCCATGGGAACGGACAAGTAATAACAGTATCACTAGTGCGGTGCCCTAGGCCGCTTGAGTCTACTAGTGGATAGTACTACTGGTGTGTTGCGTTAGGCGGAAGCAAAGAACAAGCTGTGGCAAACATGATTCTGGCACCAGAAAAGAATCAGCTCTCAAATATTACCTGCTGCTTCACAGGCGGCGGTTTGGTTGCTAGTAAGGCCTTCAGATTGCCCTTCCGTTGACGTCGTTGACACGGCTGACCATGCTGACCATGACTCATCATCGGATAATCACTGCCTTGCAACGAGATCTCGTCGGAGTCAACCAGGTCAATCAGGTCGTCGTCCGAAGATGCATCAATGACTTGCATGGGCTTCAAGTCGGAATCCTTGTCATCTGCTTCAGGTTGAAGGCCCTGAGATCCCGCTACATTTCTGCAGTTGGATTGCCCTACTTCAGCCACTGACGATCTAGGTCTCCGCCCATTTCCAGGATCGTTAAAGTTGCCCTTTGCCTCCGTTGGGTGCTGCCGCCATTTCGCGCCTCCGCCGCCGTGCGCCGGCTGTTTAGCAGCGGCGGATAAGCGATGCGGTGGCGAAGATACATTTCTTCCGCGGCCGGCGACTCGGAGTCGCCTGGGCGGCGGTCGTTTCTGCGCGGCTGAACTGGTTTTCGTGCTACTCGTAGTTGTAACAGCGGCGAATATGCTTGCGTCTCGAAGGACGTCCCGAAGCGGTCTAATCTTGACGCATTTCGTGGACGTTTTCTCGCACACTCCAGTAACCTCCGAACTCGCCGTCAATGCTTCGGACTTCACAATTTCCCGCTTCTGGTCAACGGCGGCGCCCCCTGTGCCGCGGAGGGATGTATTAGCCATTTCGGCGATGAGTGGCAGTTGGGCGTTCAACGAAATTATTGCTAGTCGCAGTACTAGTACTAGTACTAGAAATATCTGTAGACTGCGAAATCGGAGTAGTAATTGCAAAACTCAGAACTGGCAGCAGCTCCGAGCTCATCAGAACTTGAACTTTGGTGGTGGTGATGGTGGTGGTGGTGTGTGGTGGTGGTGGCTCGCAAGATTCGTCAGGTCAGCTGGCAGTCACATCGTTTGTCGTCTTGCGTTTTTCGGGCGAAACTTATTGCTGTCTGTTCGGTTGGGTGACTTCCTTCGAATGAGTGCACGTATACCTGGTAAATTCAGGGGCATCTCAACTGTTTCGAAGCATCAGAGGCGTGTTGCAATTGCCGGTGCACTGCATAGGCTTGGGACGTTTGGAAGGCTCCAGGCAGGCGGGAGGCCAAACACGGGCACTGATTCGGGAAAGGAAAGTTTCAAGATAGTGATTCAAATAGCTATTTACCTAAGTTTTGTTAAGTAATACTTTTTTCTGCGAGTTTCTGTAAAAGTTTTACGCCTATATTGCATTCCTGGAGCCTTCTTGTAAGTTTTAATCCGTACCACGAGCCGAGCCGATGCAGTGCACCGCGAATTGCAACACGCCGGAATCGATGCACCAATCATGCTGGAACGAAGTTAGGATTTTCTAAACATCGGGCTTTGGAGTAGTTGTAGAAGGATACGCGGTCTCAACTTCGCAGAAGACAATTCATAGGAAATTAAATATTATGTAGCCCAACAATCTAAAAGAAACTCGGGAATGTATCAAACAGAGGTGTCTAGCTGTCTGTCTATACAGCAACTGGGATGGTGACCAGAGACCACTGAACAAGCCCACCAGAAGTCACACCTCAACAACGCGGGATGGCCGTGTGGCATATGATCTGTGCAGAACTGTAACGAAATGCATCAAAGGTCAAAAGCAGGGAGGAAAAGCAGATTCAGCAGCCCAAGAGAGAAAGGGGACAACAACAAAAACAAGCCAAGGTCAATACAGCTTACAAACTCGGCTAGAAAATGGAGTACAAGAGAAGGACTTCACAATACACACTTCAGTGTACATTGTATCGAGCATACCCGTTGGAACTGTACGCAAACTCAAAACTACCCCCAACCTTCAAGAGTCTTCACCACCGAAACCGACCAGCTCACCCACCTCAAAAATGGCCAGAATGTCACCAGTTGTCAGCAACATACAGCTTCGTCCTGATTCTAGGTGGCTTGCATTTCTTACTGCTTGTTCTCATGTCATATTGTGTAGATTTAGGTTTATGCATGTTTTAGTAGCATGACACTGTCATTACTCATTTCATGCATGTGGTGCTGAATAACGGAAGTCCAGAGCTACTCACACTGAATGAATACCATGGAAATGGAAAGAATGCATGTGTAGAAAAACGCTCACTTGGAAATTTTCATATTTGGTCAATCAGCTTTGTCACCCTTGGTGTATTCAAGAAGCACATGCGGTGAGCGATATATTTTAATTAAAGTCCAATAAAGCCCTTCTTCCAGCTCCAGGTCCCCCTCTGCTCGTGCTGCATATAAATCTTCACATATAGCCATGAGCCTGTTCGTTGTTGGGAGTATAGACACACGTATCGGCATAGACATGGATGGGGATATGGAAAGAAAAAATGTTGTTAAAAAAGAAACAATCAGAGCAACAGAAAAGGGAAAGAAACATATAAGGGAAGAAAGGCCCATCTGGAATGAGAAACGGTGAGCCAAAGATGTGGCTTGTCCAAATGATGTTCACTCGCTTCCTCTACCTGTGACTAGAGATGTCCACTAGATTTCCACGACCGTAGAGTTTAGCGGAACCTACTGAGGCAAAAACCAGAACTATTTTTCTGAGGTTCCTAGGGTGCCTGCAAATTCTGCCTGCCTATTTCAGAGGTTTAAATCAGAGTTGCCTGCAGTAGGGCAGTTTCTCATAGGGAATCTTGGGGCGAAGGTCAGAGCTCAGTTCCTGAGGGTTCTAGAGTGCCTATTCCAATGGTGCCTACAAAGGACTTGCCTTACGCAGAAGGGAAGATACTTGTAGGGTATTTTGAGGCGAAGTCCAGAGCTCTGATTCTTAAGGCTCTGAGGTGCCTAAGGCGCCTGACAATTCTGAGGTGCCTATTTCAAAGGCGCATGAGAGAAGTACTTGCCTTTCACAGGAGGGCAGGTTCTCGTAGGGTATCTTGAGGCGAAGATCAGAACTCTGTGAGCGAATGAGTCGCCCCAGAGCAAGCACGAATGTGACGTAGAGGCCCGTGATGCTGAATGTCTGCATCGCCTCCCCTAGCACCCCGGCTGTGTTGGGATAAGAGGAGGGTTGAATGGGAGACAGCGGGAGGGGGAAAGGGGAGAGGGAAGAAGCAAATGAGTCAGCTCAAGGGCAGCATGAACGTGATGTACGGCACCGTGATGCTCAAGGCCTGCATCGCCTCCCCTAGCACCCCGGCTGCATGTTAGGGTAGATGTGAGTTGAGTGGAAGATGGGCGGAGGGAGGAAGTGGAGAGGGAAGAAGCAAAGGAAGGCATGAACGTGACACACAGCCCTGTGATTGGTTTCCCTCAACGTTTGCATTGCTTCCCCAAACATTTGAATGGGTGAGGGGAGATGGAATAAGAGGAAGAAGGAAGGAGCGCGAGCACAAACGTGACGTACAGTCCCGTGATGCTGAAGGTTTGCATCGCCACCCCTAACACTCCAGGAACATACCAGGAACTTCCTCAGACATGGTAATGGCAGCAGGCCCTGATGCCTCTCCACACGCCTCCAACGCCCTCACACCCTTTACTGCCCGCCTATCCCATCTGGTTAATAACCACCCACCCACCAAGCAAGCGTGCAGCACAGCACTAACCCACCAGACACGACACCTACCAGGCACTTCTTCTGAAACAGTGATAGCAGCAGGCCCTGATGCTTCTCCACATGCCTCCAACGCCCTCACACCCTCACTCTCCTCCAGCCTCCTCTCCCTCCCTGCACCACCCTTTCCTTCTCCTCGTGCCTCCACTAAATCTAACCCCCTTCTCCTGCCCCATTGGACACTGTCCCATACGCTCCTGCTGCTGCTGCTGCTGCTGCTGCTGCCGCCGCCGCCGCTGCTGCTGCTGCTGCCCCAGCCAATGCCGGCACGGGAAAGGGTGGCACTTTGCGATGTGTTGTAAGAACACACACCGAGAGTACCGGTGGAGTCAGGAGGGAGAGGAGCACAATGCAGCACCCACCAACGACTGTTACCACTGCCACTGCTGCCGCCGCCGCCGCTGTTGCTGCTGCTGCTGCTGCTGCTGCTGCTGCTGCTGCTGCTGCTGCTGCTGCTGCTGCTGCTGCTGCTAGAGGAGTCATCCTGCAGTTGTAGGCAGCAGGCGGATCGAACCTGTGAGTCAGGGCGCACGGGGGGAAAAGGACGACGGGTAGAGGGAGTCAGGAGGGAGAATACCACATTACAGCACCCACCACCAGTGAATGCCCCCAGACACACACGCTTAGAGTCAGCCTTAGCCTTACCTTGGAAGCTTCCAGCTCTCTCGCCTTGCCGAACCCAGGAAGCTTCCAGTAGACCGGATATAACTCCGGAAGTAGCAACCCCATAGCTCCTCCACCAGCAGCAGCAGGTCCCTTCCTCCCCTCCAGTATCCCCAGCAGCCCATCAGCCAGCAGCGCGGGGGGCAGGCCGGAATAGACCTCCTCCCATGATGCCACTTCCCTTCGGATGGGGCGGGGGCGCGTGAACCACCATTGGACGATCAGGCTCGGCGCACATGGGTCCGGCGGACCAGAGAGAGAGGCTCGGGAGAAGGCTTGGGAGGAAGCTCGGGATGAGGCTTGGAGGGAGCGACGGGAGGAGGCTGGTTGGATGGAAGAGAGTGAGGGTTGAATTGGGTGATACGGGAAGGATACTGCTAGGTGTGATGCTCCTGACAGATCTCTTATACTCCCTCCACTCAGTCTATACTTTCCGCCTACCCTTCGCCTCGTGCTTCTGCCGCCTCCCCCTCCTGTGGCCGATCTTCTAAGTGCTTCTCTAAGGCGGCTCTCAGCAGGGGGTGTCAGCTGAAAGAGGGAGAGGGAGTCTGGGTAAACGCACACCAGGCGCATATCGACGGGTAAATACCCCGTGGAATTCAGTACAGGATCGTCTGAGACGTTCCAGGAGGGGATTCGAGGTGGGGGTGGGGGAGAGGGAGGAGCGAGGGGAGGAGAGGGCGGAGGGAGGGGCGGAGAGGCGGGGGAAAGAGGGGGAGACTGTGTGGTTGCTGGTGGTAACTGAACATCAGAACTGCTGTCAGCGGCCAAACCGTGGTCCAATGCACCTGGCATGATTGTAAAGGGTACAAGCACAGGCCCAGGCTGTGGGGTATAAGAAGTTCCGCTACCAGTATAAGGCGGTCCGCTACCAGAGTATTCAGTTTCAGTGAGTGTCCGACGACTTTCATCCCTGTAGGAACCCTGGTTCCAGGAACCTTCCACTGCATCCCTAGCAACTTCCCGCAAACCTTCCTTAGCATCCTCCAAACCTTCCTTCTCACGGCCAGCAAAGGAACCTTCCTCTGCAACATCCGTAAAGGAACCTTCCAGGAAACGCATCTCCTGCAGCTGCTGTGAATCCACACCCGTGAGCTGGAAGGGGGTTGCGGGCCCTGGGTTGAGAAGCGGGTCCAGCAGCAGGCGCTCTTGCCCGCCCTCAAAGATGGGGAAGGAGCCGGAGCAGGTCTGCAGGACCAGGTTGACTCGCACGTCTGTCACCAGATTGGGGTAGTTGGCGGGGTTGCCGCTGCTGTAGATCTGCGCAGACAAGGAGGGGGGGGTGTGGAAGAGATATGGAAGGAGCTAGAGCAGGTTCACTCGCACATCTGTCACTAGATTGGATTGGGGTAGTTGGCGAAAAGGAAAGGGGGCGAAAGAGAGGGGGGAAAGGGGAGGCGAGAAGGAAGGTGAAGCAGAGGGTCTAGCAGCGGGCGCTCCTGCCCTCCTTCACAGATCTGAGAGGGGCGGAGCCGGAGCAGGTCTGAAGAACCAGGCTGACTCGCACTTCTGTCACCAGATTGGGGTATTGGCAGGGCTGCCGCTGATGTAGTCTGTAGATCTGCGGAGGGGGTGAAGGAGAGGGGAGGACAGAGGGGGTACAGAGTGTGTAAGCAGTATTGTTGTCAACTGCGGCTACATCTTTTAAGGCTACTTATGAGGCACTTTTGAGGCGCTTTTAAAGGCGCTTTTAGAGGCGCCTCAACAAAAAGGGGGTACAGAGTGTGACTACTCCAGACGTCACAATAACAGCACGGGACAGTAACCGGACGCCCCAGTATGGGTGATCAGATGGCCTGTGATTATAGCGACGCATCAATTGCCTTTGCCTCTCAAAAGTCAACTCAGATGGCTTGTGATTATAGTGATGCAACAATCGCTCTGTCAACTAGTGATAATAGCTGTGTGACTATACCATGACTCACCAGCATGTGCGCTCAGATGATTGTGACTATAGCGAGGAAGAAGAAGGCGACTCCCGTATCAACTGTGCCTTGAGAAAATCGCCGTGTGTGTGACTGTAACAGCATGGGACTAAAACAACAATGACCAGCATCGGCGCCCAGATGGCTGTGCCTATAGAGTGAGAAGCAATATCATCACAGATATACGAAAAGTGACTAAAGAGGTGACAATAACGAGACGCCCCAGCATTGGCACCCAGATGGATGTGACTACGGCGAGGGAGGAGCAGGGAACATCACTCCCAGTTGTGACGTGACAATAACGAGACTCACCAGCATGGGCGCCCAGATGACTGTGACTAAAGCGAGGAAGAAGAAGGCCCCTCCCATGAGCTTCACCCCCCACCCCTGCGGCTGCCCCGGCTTGTGCCCGGCACGCGCTATCTTGCGATCGCAGGTGACGAGGTAGAGACTGGCGTAGATGTCCTCTAGCTGTTGGGGGGTGGAATGGTTGAAGACAGATAGAGCAATGTAGGCAGAGCACAAAAGGCAGTCTGGCATAGCCTTGCTCCTGCTGCCTTATATCTTGCGATTGCAGGTGACAAGGTAGAGACTGTCGTATATGTCCTCTAGCTGTGAGAATGAGGAGGGGAGGAGAGTGGTGACAGACAGGCAGAGACATGGGGAGAGAAGGCGCAGGGGTGTGTTGTCGCCTGTGCCCCGCCCGCGCTATCTTGCGATCGCAAGTGACGAGGTAGAAACCAGCGTATATGTCTTCCAGCTGTATGGAAGGAGGAGGGGAAAGGAGAGTGGGAGTGCAAGGTGCAGGGCAACAAGAGGAGTCATCGCAGGTAACAAGGTAGAGACTGGCGTATATTTGCTCCCAACTGTTGGGGGGGAGTGGAGGAAGGAAGGAGGAGGGAGAAGCAGAAGGATGAGGGCAGGCGTAGAGGTGTAGAGTCAGGAGTGGAGGCCTCGAGATGACAGGAGAGAGTTAGCAATCAGACAGGGCAAGGCACAGGCTTTTGATGTTGGCATCGTACCTTGAGCCAGTCGCAAAGAGGCAGAGAGGTTTTGGTGCACCACCAGTCAAGAAGCAGGGGAATGAGATGCAGCTCTTAGAAGAAACGGCGTGGCCTTGCTCGCCTGGCCGGCCAGCCCGTGCATGAGCTGCAGAGCTGAGAGCACAGCGTTGCATTGCTAACAGCATAGCATGCATCACTCCCTAGCAGGCTAGCAGTAGCATACCTCGAGCCAGTCGTACAGAGGTAAAGTCGTTTTGGTGCACCACCAGTCGCGAATCAGATGCAGCTTGTAGAGAAACGGCAGCATGCGGTAAACCCAGAACAGCTGCCAGCGTAGCCACGTGGCCCTCCTGGTCAGAAACGGCGTCGCCTTGCTCGTAGGCCCCAGCTGGGCCGTGCTTGAGCTGCAGCGCTAAGAGCACTGTCAACGGGAGTTGTGTGTTGGCCCCGTCCTTGCTTGGGCGGAGCCGATGTCGTGGTCGAGTGTACGGGAGGTGCAGCCGATCTTCTGCAGACACCGACTTGGGCGCGCAGGTCGACGACTTGATCGACCTGCACGAGGGCCACTGCGAAGCCAACGACGCCGGGCGCCGGTGGCCGACTTCAACCAGGGTCGACATAGCAGTCGTCGTCTTGGGAGGATGGGGACGCCTACCTGGGCGTCTCGACGCCGACTTGGGCGCCTTGACGCTGACCTGGGCGCCTGGACGCCGACCTGGGTGCCTGGACACTGACGTGGTGGCGTCAACCTGGTTGCCCGGTCGACTCACTTACCCGGGCGATGGGCACTGCAGGGAGCGCGAGAGTCGCTCAGAAGATTCTTGCGAAGCCGACCTCGGTGTGGTATCCCGAGGTCGACATGGAGGATCAGGTGCAGTCGTGGGCACATGGTCAACTTGGCGTCTGCGAGGCACAGCACGCCAATCAGCTGCGAGCACCTGCGAAGCAGGTGCATTGCTGTCATGCAAATGCAACGCTGTTCAGCTGCTTTGCTACAGCATTGGCACGCTGTCGACTTGCAGCGTTGGCAGACCGCGACTTTGCCCTGCTGGAGTGCAATCGACCTTGCACTGCTGGAATGCGGTCAACCGTGCTGCGCTGGCAGTCGGCCTGCATGCTTGCTAGCATCTGGTGTAATCCATTGTTGCTTTGTATTGTGGACCATTGTTGTCAATCTTTGCTAGTGAAACTCTTGCCAAAATTCCCCATCAATGCGCAAGTAGTGTGAACACGAGCAAACAACTAAGGAACGCAGAGATCACCCAACACCTTATGCCTTTCTTGTAGTCAAGCTCTTGTTGTGTTAGCTATCTCCGCAAGCACAGCATTGCATTGCTAACAGCATGCCCAGTCACAGTACAACGTTGCTAGCGAGCAGCGTACCTTGAGCCAGTCGTAGAGAGGAAGAGTCGTTTTGGTGCACCACCAGTCGAGAATCAGATGCAGCTCGTAGAGAAACAGCAGCATACAGTAAACCCGGAACAACTGCCTCGACGCTGACAGCACTATCATCTGTCCAAGATCATACCTTGAGCCAATCATAGAGAGGCAGAGTTGTTTTGGTGCACCACCAGTCGAGAATCAGATGCAGCTCGTAGAGAAACGGCAGCATGCGGTAAACCCGGAACAGCTGCCACCTCAGCCACGTGGCCCTCCTTGTCAGAAACGGCGTCGCCTTGCTCGCCGGCCCTGGCGGACCGTGCTTCAGCTGCAGCGCAGAGAGCGCGAGGGAGATGGACTTGATGGCGAGGTAAGCCCGGATGGTGTTGTGGGAGGCGATGAGGTTGGCGTTCCAGAAGAGGCGCATGGGGTAGCCGAGGTGCAGGAGGAGTGAGGTGAGGTGGTAGAGGATGCGCAGCGGGGCGGAGAAGACCAGATAGAGGATGCGGTTGGTGACTATGAGGAAGAACTGCGTCTGCTTGTAGGGGGGATGGGGTATAGTGGGGGGGGGGATGGGGGATGGGGAAGGCGGGAGGGGGAAAAGGAACAGGGATTGAGTGGAAGGCAGGGAGAGGGAGAGGAGAAGGTGGGAAAGGGAGGGGAGTGCAGGAGATGGGAGAGAACGGGAGCGAAGGGAAGGGGAAGGGAGGGAAGGAGAGGGGATGGTGTTGTGGGAGACGATGAGGTTGGCGTTCCAGAAGAGGCGCATGGGGTAGCCGAGGTGCAGGAGGAGCGAGGTGAGGTGGTAGAGGATGCGCAGCGGGGCGGAGAAGACCAGATAGAGGATGCGGTTGGTGACTATGAGGAAGAACTGCGTCTGCTTGTAGGGGGGATGGGGGACGGGGGGGGGTGGGGAGTGGAGAGGGGGGAGGGGGGAAGCAGGGGTGCGCTGAAGACCAGGTAGAGAATGCGGTTGGTGACTATGAGGAAGAATTGCGTCTGCTTGTAGGGGGGATGGGGAATGGGGGAATGGGGGGATGGGGATTTGGGTTTGGGGTTTGGTATGAAAAACAGCACTTACCATGACATGGCATACCGTTGTCCAAACCCCTAGGCCATTCTGCTGCGGATCGTACGTACCATGAGAACCGCAACGTAGGTGGAGGGGAACTGGTCCCCCGTGTGAATGACCTCCTCAAAGGGCGACCTGTCTCGCACGGCCGACTGGTAGAAGAGCCCGACATAGAAGAAAGCGAGTATGTCGATACAGAAGATGTAGGGGTATAGGTCTATCTCCCTTCTGCCTCCTGGGATGATGGGAAGGGAATAGGAAACAGAGGAGAAGAAAGGGTAACATTTGTTAGTGGGCCACTGCATGGACGGCCGACTGGTAGAAGAGCCCCCCGTAGAAGAAAGCGAGGATGTCGATGCAGAAGATGTGGGGGTGCAGTCTATCTCCCTGCGACCTCCTGGGAGGAAGGTTGGGGGCCGGACCAGAACTAATTTGGAAGGATCAGACTGGCGAAGGTTAAGTGGCCCACGCAGAAGCAGGCGAGAATGCTGATCGTGTGCTGAACGATTGCTGATTGAGCACTGCATGAGTTGCTGCACATGGCACTTTTTCAGGCGCCTGAATAATCGGCTCATTAAATGCTGACTGAGTGACAATCGCGTGCTTATTGAGTTGAGATTGAGAGCACACACTGTACCTGCAACAACTGAGGCGAGTTGCACACGGCGCGACCCAAACACCCTTCCCAGGATGCCACTAGCAGCAGCAGCTGTAAAATTACTCCCTCGCCCACCCACACCACCCACTCCTCTCACCAACTCCCCCCTGCCCTCCCCTCCTCCTTCCTCCCCTCCCTCTCCCCCACTCCCCGGCCTTCCCCCGCTCATGAACCTCCCGAGCCTCTTTGCCACGTCAGCCGATGGCGTGAGGGACTGCCACGTGTCATTCCACATGTGCGGCTGAGAGGAGACGTGCTGGGTTGTCGAGGAGGCGGAGGGGGAGCCCGATCCGGCAGGAGGGGAGGCAGAGACAGAAGCAGGGGAACTGGTGGTGGCACTGGTGGTGGCAGTGTTGCTGGTGGTGGCAGTGTTGCTGGTGGTAACCACCTCAAGGACCACTACTAGAGTGTCAGTAACAGGGAGTTGCGAGTGAGTAGGAGACTGAGGAGGAGCGTGAGGAGAGGAGGAAGGGTGGGGTTCACTTTCAGGCGCACCAGCAGCAGAAGAAGCAGCATGTGCGTTGGCTGCCACAGAAGCGGAGGTGTTGAGTGCGGTGCTGTTGAGTGAGGAAGTGTTGAGAGAGCCAGCGCATTGCACGCTGTGCACTCGCACGCACAGGGGATAGTCGCATGAATGCAACACCAGTGCATGCTGCTCTTGCAGCTGCTCATGTTGAGACCACTGTTGAGTCTCATGCTGATAATGCGGCTGCTGCTGCTGCTGCTGCTGCTGCTGCTGATGATGATGATGATAATGCGGCTGTTGCTGCTGCTGCTGATAATGCTGCTGGTGGTGCTGCTGCGTTTCAGTCACTGCTGCTTCGTCCTCCTCGAAACGCACATGCTTTCTTGAACCACCTCCACCGTGGCCTCCTCTTCTCTGTTTAGCTCCTGCCACATCAGCAGGCAATGCCACGTCAGCAGGCACTGCCACATCAGCAGGTGCTGCCACGCCATCAGCATGCGCTAGCAAAAAGTTGAACGCTCCCTCGATGACACCTGGAAGCATCTGATTGGCCGTCCACCCGTCCGGGCTGCGAAGCACAACCTGCACAAAGTAGGGAGGCGCTTCAGACCCCTCCATAGTAGCTCTTAAGAACCTAATTAAACTCCTCCATACTCCTACGCATCTAAACGACAGTCCCCCCCACACCCACTGAAACGAAAACGGTGGAGTAGACGTTCCTTCCCCGCTGCTACTACTCCTATTGCTGCTGCTGCTGCTCCCACTGCTCCTACTGCTGCTGCTGCAGCTGCTTCCGCTGCTCCTGCTGCTCCTGCTCCTGCTGCTGCTGCTGCTGCGGTATTTGTGTCTCGAGCTGCTGCCCTCTGCTGCGTGGCCGTTGCGAGATGTGAGAGCGAAGGCTGGTGCATGGGCTTGACGAGGCGAGTGGGAGGCTGTTTGGAAGGATGACTGCGGGAACGTGGATGCACGCGTGCTGTGTCCCAGCAGAGGCGAAGCTGCCTCCACGTCAGCATCATGATCCCTGTCAGCATTGTCCACTTCAGCATCGCAGTCCACGCAAGCGTGCACGTGAACAGCCTGGCTGACCCCAACCAGCCGACCAACCACCCTCGCAGCTCCCTTCAACCAACCCCAGAAACCACCAACCTCTCCCTGTTCAGCTCGGCCCGAGCCACCATCTGAGCCTCGGTCACTTCCGAACCTGACATCATCCTCTTCCTCCTCCTCTGGTCTGGCAAGCCTCACAGAGCTTCTAGCCTCCGCAGAAACCATAGACTCCTTAGCACTCCTAGACTGGCTGTTTCGCTGGCAGATGGCGGTCTGAACAAGCAGAGCGAGGTAGACTGCAAAGAGAGGAAGTACGTTCCACACGAACCAGCTCGGGTAGGGCCGGACGCCCAACAGAGCAAACAACCGATCCCACCCCTCCATACCGAACCCAGCCCCTATCCACCCAGCAAACCCTCCCCCTCCCCCTCCTCCTCCTCCTCCTGCTCCACCACCCCCTCCGCCGCCCCCTCCCTTTTTCCCGCTCCCTCCCGCCCCATTCCCCCCGGCCCAGCTCGTACACCCATCATGCGTGGGGATCTGATACAAATACTCCAATGCGATCAGCACCTCAGAGTAAACCAGCAGTCCCCTCCAGAACCTCGGCCCGGGAGACGGGTTCGACACGAGCGCGTACAGGAAGAGCGCGAGCGGGAACACGAGGGTGGAGAGAGAGAGGTTCCAGCAGAACGCGGTTACCATGAACGCGCCGGTTACCACATCGCTGTTGGCGTGGAGGAGCCATCGCAGCCGGGAGAAGGCCCGGGGGCGGGAGGGGGAGGAGGGAGAGGGAGGAGGAAAGGTGGCGGCAATGGGAGTGGTGGTGGGGGCGGAGGAGGAGGAGAAGGGAAGGGAGGTGGTGGTTACATTGTTACCAACCGCTGGTCCTTCTGCTGCTGCAGCTGTTACACCTGTCCTTTCGACCATCCATTCTCCTGTCCGTTCTCCTCCCATGCCTTGACCCATCGCTTCCCCCATTGCAACTCCCCCTCCTCCAAATCCGCTCCCCCAATCCCTCCCCCTTGGCCCCTTCCCCTCTCCTGCTGTTACGCTCGACCCGTGCCGACTCAACACAGCAGCTGCAGCTGCTTCTGCAGCTTCCAGGAAGCCTCCTCCTGCTGCTATGGCAGCAGCAGCAGCCTCTGGTGCACTCAACGGCTTTTCAGAATTCTCAAAAGCAGACGGTGCTGCTGCTGGCTGAAACCCTCCTCCTGCTGCTATGGAAGCAGCAGCAGCAGCAGCCTCAGAAGCACTCAACCCCCTCTTTTCCACTCGCTCTCCTGCTCCCATTCGCTCTCCTGCAAACCCTGATGCTCCCACACCGCCATCACCCGTCACCGCCCCCTCCTCTACAATCTCCTTCCCCAAAACGTCCCTCCGAACAGCACTGGCGTCTGATTGGCCCGATCCTTCTTCTAGCACAGCTGGCAGCGCATCGGCAACAGCTGACACATCCACCTCACTGCTGGCAGGGCGTGTTTCTGGGAAGATATCAGGGCTCTGCACTGCACTCGAAGTGTCTGGTCCTTCTTCTAGCACAGCTGGTAGCGCATCAGCCACTGCTGACACATCCACCTCACTGCTTATAAGGAGGATATCAGAGCTCTGTGCTGCACTCAAACAGTCTAGCCCTCCCTCCTTCCCCTCACTAGAAGAGGGATCGGGCCAATTGCAGCTACTGCTGCGCGGCCTGGCACTCGCAACGACCCCCGCACTCTCACCTTCCAGCTGCTGAGATTGTGAGTCAGAATCACCCACCGGAGTTTGAGTCCCCTCACTAGAAGAGGGATCGGGCCAATTGCAGCTACTGCTGCGCGGCCTGGCATTCGAAACAACACCCACACTTGAAACGCCAACACTCCCCCCGTCTAGCCTACCCAGGCTACCCTCATAAAGACCACCACCAGAGCTGCTCAACCCTTCACTCCCCACACCTGTGACTCCCATCCCACCGCTCTCCACCACGCTCAACCCGAGCCTGCTTGCCCCGCCACCACCTCCATCACTTCTCACCGCACTCAACCCCGCTCCACCAATCTCCGCTCCTTCCGAATCCAAATCCAGCAGATCCTCTAACCCCGCAATCACCATGGATTGCACCTGAGCCACCCCCTGGCCGATCATCTGCTGCATACCAGCCGGAATCAGCCGTCCGCTCCGCCGCCCAACCAGGCCCCCTGCCGCCCGCTTCCATCGGCTGCTAGCGGCGCCTGTGCCGACCGCGCTGGGAGGGTGGGTGGAGGAAGCGCCGGGAGCAGAGGAGGAGGGAGGGGAGGAGAGGGATGATCCCCGTGACCTTATCTCTCTTGCTGATGGTACTGCTACTGAGGGTGATGATGATGATGATGGTATTGCCACTGCTACTGACATTCCTGGTGGCGCTGCTGCTGCTGCTGCTGCTGCTGCTGCCACTCCTGTGACTGTTGCTGCTCCTGAATCTGGGGAGAATGAAGGGGGTGCTGTTGCCACCCCCTCAACTCTCCCTCCCGCTTCTCCTCCTCCCCACAACTCCCCTTCCCTACCAACCAATCCCTTCCCAGCAGCAGCCCTAGCCCTCTCCATAACCGCGTTATAAGAAGGACCAGTACAAGCAGGGGGGAGCATGGGGGATTCTATACTGTCAGACAGCACAGGACCCACGGGGGAGGGGCCAGCTGGGGGAGGTACAGCTGGTGAGGAGGCGGTGGAAGGAGGGGGGTAGAGCGGAGGAAGGTAATAGGTGGGGGAGGGCGACGGAGTGGATAAGGTACTGGATGGTATGGGGTGAGGAGAGGAGAGTGCAGGGGGAGGGAGAAGGGCAGTGGGAGGGGGTTGACCTGCTGCGCGTGAGGGGGTTGACTGGGGGAGGTGGTATGTGGCACGAGCAGTGGTGGTGGTGGTAGTGGCAAACTCAGCTGCAGCAGCACCACCACCACCGTAACCAGCACCATCTGCACCACTCTGGACCTCATTCCTAACAGCTTCTGACGAATCACAAGACAGATCCTGCCATCCACTCCCCTGCACCCCCCCCCGCCCTCCTCCTGCTCCTCCCTCTCCCCTCTCCCCTCCTCCCCCTCCTCCTACCCTCCCCCGTGCAAGCATCAGTTGCAGCAGCTGCTGCTGATGCTGCTGCGCCAGCCTACCCGCCCCAGGCCCAGCTACCCCACCTCTTCCCCCAGGGCTATCAGACTGAGGGAAGTTGAGGAGGGCGAGGTGGGAGTGGAGGCGGCGCATGCCGTCCTTCATGCGCTGCACCTCCTCGCTGCGCTGCCGCCGCCTCTCCTCCGCCTGCTGTAGCTGCCGCAGATGCTCCCGCTGCCACGCCGCCACCATCTCAAACGCTCTCTGCCTGTCCCGCTCCTGTTTTTAGGGAAGGAGAGGGGGGAGGGTGGTGGCAACACTCTCTGCAGCTGCCGCAGATGCTCCCCCTGCCATGCCGCTGCCATCTCTGCTGCTCACTGCCTGTCCCGCTCCTGTTAGAGGGGAGGGGAGGGGGGGGGAGTAGAATAGAGAGACACAAGGGTGTTGAGCTGCCGCGGATGCTCCCTCTGCCACGTCACCACCTTCACTGCCCGCTGTCGTTCCCACTCCTGTGGCACAAACATGCTTACATTACACCCACCACCGCACTGCGCTCATCTGGTTCGCCCGTCGACCCCTTCCTCTATCCCTCCCCTCCCAAATCCATCTCCCCCTTTCCCTCTCCCATGCCCTGGTGCCTCACCTCCTGCTTGGAGGTGAAGAGCAGAATTTGCTGGAAGAGCTCGGATCGGAGGCTGTGAGCCAAGAGGGTGATGAGCACAAACATGGTCAGATCCACCCACCCGCCACCAGCACCACCGCACTGATAGAAATGGAGCTGAACTGATTAATTAGTAGAGAAGGCACTAGGCTTTAAGTACAAATGAGGTTGGGTTGGGCAAAGCTAGGGAAAGGATGGGAAGGGAATCCTAGCAAATCTCCAATTGGTGAGTTGGCAGATTTGCAGGATTACGAGGGAATCCCAACCAGATAGGGTTGGGATTACGAACTACACCCAAACCGCAAATAACCTACGCGATATAGAATATAGAACACAAAGTGTTGACAGCCTATTTCTAACACACCCCCTAGGCTGCAACACATCAGCCACAAGGAGGCCCAACACCCATGGCCGAAAGGAGGCGGTAATGGTCCTGGCGAACAAGCGACTTGGTAAACAAGTCAGCAAGGTTGCAGTCGGAGGCAATGTGTTCAGCCTTCAGCTGCTCGCGCTGCACCAGCTCACGAAGAAAGTAGTGACGGACTTCAATGTGCTTGGTGCGGCCGTCGAAAACGGGGTCCTTGGTGAGATGAATGGTGCTCTGGTTGTCACACCAAAGCGTTGGGGTTGGTTTGGGATACCCCAATTCTGTCAGCAGGAAGGAGAGCCAACGAGCCTCCTGGGCACCCATGGTCCCGGCATACAGCTCTGCCTCACAGGTTGACAGTGAGACTGAGGACGACCGAGTGGAGTGCCAACTTACAACCCCACTGCCAAGGGTAAAGCAATACCCTTGGGAACCACGCCGATCACTCTGGTCATCAGCATAGGATGCGCCACTGTACCCCTCAAGGCGAACAAGGGAAGATCCGCCAAGTGTGAGCACATAACCCTGTGTGCCTTTGAGATAGCGAAGAACCCGCTTGGCGGCAAACAAGTGGTGGCGAGTGAAGCGACCAGGTGCAACGTAGCGGGACAGTACACTAACTGGATAGGTCAAGTCTGACTGAGTGCACATCATCGCGCACATGAGGGATCCAACGAGCTTGGGGAAAGGCTCATCACAAGGCTCAGGTGAGGGAACAGAGGGTGCAGTGAGTTGGTGCTGCAGAGAGAGTGGGGTAGGCATTCATGCTGCTTCCTGCATCTTGAACCTCGTCAGAACGTTGTTGATGTAAAACTTCTGCGAGAGGGTGATGGTGCGGGCCGTGCGATCACGTGTAATTTCCATGCCCAGATAATCCATCAGATTTCCAAGGTCCTTCATCGCCCGCTTCTCACCAAGTGCGGTTTTGACTGATGCCAACTCAGTTTGATCCTTGGTGACAAGGATCATGTCATCGACATAAACCAGGATGAAAAAGCAGGATGGTGTTGCTCGGATGAAGAGGCTGGGGTCAGAGGTGGATGGGTGAAAGTCGAGGGACCTTAAGGTTCTCTTTAGCTTGTTGTGCCATTCCCGGGGTGCTTGCTTGAGGCCATACATTGGCCGATTCAGCTTCCATACAATGCTTGGTGGAAAAGAAGCTGGAAATCCTTCGGGCCGCTCCATATAGATTTCCCCTCAAATGATCCCTTGCAGAAACGCAGAAGACACATCCATGCAGTCAACCTCCATGTCATCTCGAGCAGCAACGTCGAGAAGGGTGCGTAGTGTGGGCGGTTTTGGCGGTGGGAGAGAATGTCTCAAAGAAGTCCAGTCCATGCTTTTGGGTAAATCCCTTGGCACAGTACCGGGCTTTGAAGACACGAAATTCGTCTGGAAGTTGTTTCACCTGAAAAACCTATTTTCCCTTCACAATGTTGACGCCGGAGGGAGAAGATACATCTGTGAAAGTTCCTGTGTGAATGAAGGCCTCACATTCTGCGACAATGGCCCAACCACTGAGCGGCGTGAGGACCAGAGATTGCTTCAGCATAGGTGAGAGGTGTGGGGATGGAGGGGTTGTCGGAGAAATTGAGGGAGGGAGAGTCTGCGATGACTGGAAAGAGGAAGCAGGGCGCGTGGATGGCTGAGTCGATATCAATCAACTCCTCATGTCTGTCTTCAAGGAGGGAGGGCATGAGAGAATAATCACCCCCGACAAGAGAAGGATAGAGAGAGACATGAACGGAAAGGGAGAGCGGTTGTGTAGGTTTATGAGAGCGGGTGCGAGAAGCGATGGGGGAGGGAGGCGGAGCTGGAGGAGGAGTAGCGGTAGGTGAAGTGGGAGTGGGAGCAAGAGCAGGATCAGGAGCTGGAGCAGGAGCAGGAGGACGGCGGTGATAGGTTTTGAGACGAGGAGGCTCGGAAGGAGGAGTGGAATCAGGATCAGGAGCCAGAGCAGGAGGAGAGGAAGGAGGGGGAGTGAGTGGGGGAGCGAGTGGGGGAGCGAGTGGGGGAGGGGGGGGATGGAGGGAAGGAGCGGAGGAGACTACGTGGTGCTGGAGGGGGAAGTGGGTGGTGGCGGGTCAGAGACGGTGGAGGGAGCAGGAAGAGGAGGAGATGGAGTGGCGGGAGGAGGAAGACTGTCAAAGTCAGCCCAAGTGAGAGAAGGAGGTGGAGGAGAGGGGGAAGTCTTGGAGGAGGGATAGAAAGGGTGAGACTCATCAAAAAACACGTCCCGGCTGCGGTAAAGTTTGTTGGTGGAAGGATGGAGGAAGAGATAGTCTGGCGAATCTGAGTTGTGCCCGAGGTATACGCACGTGATTGTTTTGGGAGCAAGCTTGCCGCCAGCTACATGACAGGCTTGGGATTTGATGACATAGGAAGTGCACCCCCATACACGTAGAGGGCGGACGGACGGCTTTTGAACCGTCCACAGCTCAGCGGGGGTAGTGTGGGTGTGATGAGGATGAGCATGGAGATTGTGGAGGGCGGCAGCGTGGAGCATGGCGTACCCCCAAAGAGAGGGAGGGGCAAAGGCGTGAGTGAGGAGGAAGCGAGCAATCTGCACTAAGATGCGATTCTGACTATCAGCAAGACCGTTCTGTGGGGACTGTCCGGGAGAGTGAAGGTCTGACGGATACCCTCAGTGGAACAGAAGGCTTTGAGAGTGTTGTTGCGGAATTCACCGCCACCGTCAGAGTGAAGAAACTTGATGGTGGTTTTGAAGTGTTTATGAGCCTTATTCGCCCATTCAATGATGACGGCTTGGGCTTCAGATTTGGAGGAGAGGAGGTGGACAGACACATAGCGGGAATAGTCATCAATAATGACAAGGAAGTAGAAGTGTCCGCCACGAGAACGAAGAGGAGCTGGACCCCAAAGATCCATGTGCACGCGATCACGAGCAGTTGAGATGGACTCAGTGGGGGGACGGGGCTGTTCACGAATCTTGCTCTGTGCACAGTCAAGGCAAGGCAGCCCGAATTTGGAGGTAGGAGAGGGAAGTGAGGTTGGAAGTCCGTGGAGGAGTTGTTTTGTGGCAAGGTCAGAAAGCGCGCGGAAGTTGATGTGGCCGAGGCGGTGATGGAAGAACATGGTTTTGTCGGAAAGGAGACGGCAGTGACAGGTGGAGGAGTGTGAGGAAGGTAGTGGAAGGTGGGTGAGTGAGCACGTTTGAATGAAAGGTACAACGAGCGTGTAGAGATTGTTGGAGTTGAGGGTGAAGCGGGCTAGATGAATGCCGGTTTTGGCATCAAAGAGGTCACAGTAGTCGACATCATTGGAAAGGATGGTGATCACTCATGCGTGTTGGATTTCACGCTGTGCAAGGAGGTTATAGCGGACGGTCGGGGAACAGATGCCAGTGACTGTGCTGGATGGGAATGCTAGACAAGGAACTGTGGAGGACCCATGGTAGGGTTGAGCAAAAACACGAACACCTGTTCGGTTCGCCTCGAACTTTTTTTTGGCTTAAAATGTTCGCCGAACAGTGTTCGATGTTCGCCCGAACACGTTCGTGTTCGGGCCGCTGCTGCAATTTGCCCGCGACGAACACGAACAGTGTTCGAGGTTCGCCCGAACACGCCTTCACAGGCGAACGGCGAACACCATTTTTTGCTCAAAGTGTTCGCCGAACCGAACAGTGTTCGGTTCGGCAAACGAAGGTGTTCGTGTAGGGGCGAACACGAACACGCTCGTGTTCGCCACTTGCTCATCCCTAACCCATGGCATTGGATGGAGAAACTAGAATCTGCTCTTCGGGTGTGGCGGGGGCCTGGTAGGGAACGAATGCGGTTTGGTCTTTGAGCACTGTATAGAAGAACTGAAGAGAACCATTACGACGCCAAGGATCGAATTCCGCGTGAGCGGAATTTACTAGCTCTGATACCATGATAGAAATGGAGCTGAACTGATTAATCAATAGAGAAGGCACTAGGCCTAAAAGTACAAACGAGGTTGGGTTGGGCAAAGCTAGGGAAAGGATGGGAAGGGAATCCTACCAAATCTCCAATTGGTGAGTTGGCACATTTGCAGGATTACGAGGGAATCCCAACCAGATAGGGTTGGGATTACAAACTACACCCAACCCGCAAATAACCTACACGATATAGAATATAGTACACAAAGTGTTGACCGCCTATTTCTAACACGCACTGCACTCCCCTGGTGCACCTACGCGCCTACCCATGTATAGTCCACCCACGCAGGTTGGTTGACTCACCTCCTGCTTGGTGGTGAAGAGCAGCACTTGCTGGAAGAGCTCCGACTTAAGGCTGTGAGCCAAGAGGGTGATGAGCACAAACATGGTCAGATCCACCACCGCACTCCTCGTGTCCATCCTCAGCCCGTAGTCATACTTATACAGCCCGACAATACTAAACGGGTTGCATGACAGCGCGGGCAGGTACGGGAAATACGGGCACTGGTAGACCAGGGAAGCGGTGATCAGCAGGAAGTTGTATGCTCGGAGGTAGTTCAGGACAGTGGTCTGCCCTCGGAGAATCGCCGCGTGTTTTCGCGTGCTGAGTAAGGAGAGGGCAAGGTAGCCGCAGTGTAGGAGGTCGTATTGGAGGGTTCCTGTGGCAAAGACTAGTATGAGGACGATCCAAAGGAGGTATTTGTAGTAGAGGAATCGCCAGTGGTCCAGAAAGGTCCAGCTGGGTGAGGGCCCTTCTGAGAGATCGTGCCAGGGGGAGGCGGGAGGGTGTGGGGAGGAGGGGGAGGGGGAGGAGGAGGGATGGAGGGAAGGGGGAGGCGGGAAGGAGGGGTGGGGATGGTGGGGGGAGCGGGGGGTTGAGAGTGGAGGGAGGGGTGGCGGAGGGAGGGAGGTCCATCGGGTGAGGTGCTGTGTGGTGTCGAGCGGGAATGATGGGTTTGGATGGGCAGAGGAGGAAGAGGAGTCGGAGGTGGTGGAGGCGGAGGAGGAGGAAGGGGAGAGGAGGAGACAGGAGAGGAGGAAGACGATGAAGTAGGCGCAGAGGATCCGACGGTCGTCAACAATGCCACCTGCCAGCAAAGGGAGGTAGGGGAGAAGGGATGAGGCGAGGTGTAAGAGGTGATAAAGGTGCAAAATGTGGCAAGGGTGAGGGGAGGGATGAAGAGAGGTGCAAGTGGTGCAAGAGGTGAAAAGGATGCAGGCATGATGACCATAGGTCAACACCTCAGCCAGCCACAACACACATAGGTTCGACTTTTGAGGCGCCTCAAAAGTCGTCTCTTATCCAGGACCCTTCAGAACACGCATAGGTTCCTTCGAGTCAGTGCTGAGCCAGGGGTGCAGGGGTGCAAGGGGTGCAAGTCGGTGGTTCCTTCGAGTCAGTGCTGAGCCAGCAGCTTCAATCAACTCACCCAACCACCTCACCAGCAATTCAAGAGCACCCATCACTTAAGCATACACACCCAACCCAACCGCAGATCAACTCACCGAGCCAGCAGTCCCAGCAGGTGGGGTCCTGTGAGTCCGTGCTGAGCCAGCAGTCCTGACAGTTGCGGCTGTGTGTCTTGGGCGGGTGGGGCCGCCTGTCGACATTGAACACCAACCCAATCGCAGCTCACCTCACCCAACCGCACTCACCGAGCCAGCAGTCCCAGCAGGTGGGGTCCTTGGAATCTGTGCTGCGCCAGCAGTCCTGGCAGTTGCGGCTGTGCGTCTTGGGTGGGTGCGGCCGCCTGTTGATGTTGCTGAATAGCCCTCCTCCGCTCACGTTGCTAACCTCCGCTGAATGCCAAAGAGAGTTTTCGCTGAGCCCGTTAGGGAAATAGGCAGGCGGGTTTAAGGGAGAGCTTGGGTGCGTTTGCGGAGGGAAGGAGAGCGAGAGCGAGCTAGGATGAGGGTGAGGTGGGAGGAACACGCTCAGAAGAAAACGCTGCCTGTCTTGAGGCGACTGTGGATTCAGTAGCGATCCAGGTGTGTGCGAGGGAGAGAGTCCGGAAGGGTAATGAAAAGGAGGTGGGGGACCAGTCCGGTAGTGAAAGGTAGGGGATGCAGGAGGGGTGTGTGAGGGAGGGGGTGCAAGCGGGGGGTGGTGGAAGGGAGGGGGGCCGGCGAGCATGTAGTACTGCCAGAGGGTGATTGCAGCGAAGGTGACTGTAAGGAGCGGCCAGAGCAGACGGACGAGGCGGGGAGGGAGAGCGATGCAGAGGCCGACGATGGATGTGTAGAGCAGCGAGACAATGTTCTTGACTGCGAAACTGGCGACCAGCAGGAAGAGAACCACCATCTGAGGGGAGGGGGGTGGGATGGCATAGGAGGGTCTTTCATTCAGGAGGAACACAAAGAGCAGCGAGACAATGTTCTTGACTGCGCAACTGGCGAGTCGACCAGCAGGAAGAGCACCGCCACCTGAGGGGAGCGGGAAGAGCAAGGAATGGCACGGGAGGGGTAAAGAGCAGCGAGACAATGTTCTTGACTGCGAAACTGGCAACCAGTAGGTACAGCACGACCACCTGCAGGGAATGGGAGGGGAACGGGATGGCGTGGGAGGGGTTTTGATAAACAGAGGGGTACAGAGCAGCGAGACAATGTTCTTGACTGCGAAACTGGCAACCAGTAGGTACAGCACGACCACCTGCAGGGAATGGGAGGGGAACGGGATGGCGTGGGAGGGGTTTTGATAAACAGAGGGGTACAGAGCAGCGAGACAATGTTCTAGAGCGAAAAGAAGGCGCTTAAGTGAAGAACTCCATAGAGTGAGAACAAAGGAGTTTACATGGAATCCATACAGATACAGTGAAAAGAAGTGTGCTGCTCAATTCTGCACTGATGCTCACATAGATTGTTGAGTTGACTCACAAGAATTGGCACAAACAAACTGTCAAGGCACATTCCCGCACCTCAACTCCATAGAGCAAGAAAAGGAGCTTATGTGAACTCCTTAGAGGAAAGTGATGGTGCTTACATGAAATCGACACAAATCAAGGCAAAGAACGCACCTGAACGTCATGGAGCGATAAGAACAAGGCGCTTACATGAAATCCGTAGAGTGAAAAGAAGTGTGCCACTGTGTTTTGCACCGCTGCCCACATCGACCGCAGCTGCTGCCGGTACCGCCGCGCCTCCTCTGATTGGTCCTCCTCCTCATCCTCCTCATCATATTCATCCTCCTCATCAAAATAATCATCATATCCATCAAAGAACCCATCTGCAATCATATCATCGTGTGCAGATCCAATCTTATCAATCCCCCCTGTGCCCCTGCCATTTTTCCCTTCCTCTGTCTTCCGCTTCCCACTCTTCCCCTCCCCCTCCCCCTCACCCTCACCCTCCTCTTCCCTCTCTTCCACGCTACATGCCTGAACGTGAGCCTCCTCCTCCTGCCGTTCCAGCAAAGCACCACTCACTGCCTTCTCCCCTCGCCTCCATGACCCTCCGAGAGAGAAAACGGAGGAGGAGATCGAGGAAGAGGAGGAGGCATCAGCAGCACCTCGTGCTCGTTTCTCCAAGTCCCCTACACTCCACGACCGGAAACTTATCAGCTTGTATGCTCGCTTTAAGTTTGACCCCCCTCCTCCTCCACCTCCTCCCTCGCCTCTCCCAATCTGGCTTTGAGGAGGGGTAAAATCCTTCTGTGCGTCCTTCACTGAGCTGTCTCCTCCTCCCCCTCCTCCCCTTCCTCCTCCTCCTCCTCCTCCTCCTCCTCCTCCTCCTCCTCCTCCTCCTCCTCCTCCTCCTCCTCCTCCTCCTCCTCCTCCTCCTCCTCCTCCTCCTCCCACCTCTCCTCCTCCCCCTCCCACTCCCCTCCCTAATCCTCCCTCCTCTCCCCCTCTCACCGTCATTTCCTCTGCATGCACCGAAGCAGCATGCCGAGCCGCAGCCACAGCTTCGGCAGGCACAAACAGCATGCACAGCTCGCCCTTAAGGTCGGCCCGAAGCTCCGGAGGAAGCTCGGCGAGCCAGTGGCAGGAGGCATGGTGGAGCAGGCAAGCAGCTAGGAGCACCGATTTGGCAGTACACCCGGATGTTAAAGCCCACATTCGCCCCCCTGCTACAGTGCTAATAGCGGTGTCTTCATATAAGACAAGGCCCAGCCACTGCACAAGAGGAGATGAGGCATGAGGCAAGAAAAACGACGAGTTTAAGGTGCTTCGGAATAGAGCCACAGTGCAACTAATAGCAGTGTCTTCGTATAGGAATAAGCCCAGCCACTGCACAAGAGGAGATGCGGCATGGGGGATGGAAAAATCATTTCTGAGGGTATGCAAACTTGCTGCAGCAACAATGGTTTTGTCTTTTTACAAGCCAAGGCCTAGTCACTGCACAAGAGGAGATGGGGAGTGAGGTGTGAGAGAGAAAGGAACAGATTGAGGTGCTACAAAATCATTCATACAGTGCCAACTGTGCTGCCATCCACAAAACATTGTTACACACCGTATACCCCACAATCCTTGCGACCCAACCATCCACCAGCAGAATAGCACTGTGCTGCTCCACCCAGGCCGCCAGCCCCCACTGCGCCACCACCACCTGGAACCCAAACTCCAGGCCTCAACCTCTTGCCCGTAAACCCTGAGAGCTCTACAAACATAAACCCCAAAGTCACGGCCCCTCACCTGCAGAATCGCGCTGTGCTGGTCCACCCATGCCGCCAGCCCCCACTGTGCCACCACCACCTGGAACCCAAACTCCACCACCAGCGCCGCCCCTCCATATAAGAACATCCATCTCGGCGCCGTGCCCCTCACAGCCCTCAGCCTCACACACCCCAGCACCGCCAGCAGCAGAAACCCAAATCCTATCGCGCTGACAGGATACAGAGCAGCGAAAAACGCCGCGCAGGGGAGGGCGGTGGGACAGTGTAGGATGAGCAGGCGCTTGAAAAAAGACACCCAGCCGAAGAAGCCTATAAGGGGGTATTGTTCGTGGGACCAGGAGATGACTGGGGGTGGAGTGCTGGTTGCCCCTGCTGCCGAGCCTGCAGGTTCGGCAACTGGTTCGGATGCCGGAGCTGCTCCAGCTGCTGTTGCTGCAATAGCAGCGTCAACTGCAGAACCACCAGCAGCAGCACTGGCAGCAGGAGGCGGAGGAGGGAAATGGAAGGATTTGGAGCCCTTTGCGCTGAGATGGAGATCACGAGAAGGAGGGGCGGAGAGCAGGGGGACTGTGGCTGCTGCTCCCTGTGCAACTGAGACCTGTCTCCCTTGCTGACTGGCTTGATGTGCTTGTGTATTATGCTGCCCCTGCTGACTCTGTTCCTGCTGCTGCACGTTTGGAAATGCCTCAAAGCAGAAATAAGCACGAAGGCAGATCAGCAACGTGGCGCAATCAGCAGTTGCCACGTGTACAGGCGTGCCCAGAGGAGCAAAGAGCCCAAGCCGCTCCAGAACAGACAAATCGATCCCAAATTGGGCGGCTAAGACGGATCGAAGCTCGGGGTACAAGCTACAGTACCGAAGCAAGAGCACTGTAGCTGCAAATAAGGCGGTCAGTGGCGCCATGTAGGCTCGGAGAGCTGGCGCAGAGGCTCGGAAGACGGAGGTTTGGGAGGAGGAGTGCAACGCAGAGGAGGATCTTCCAGCATGGGAGGAGGTCTGGTGGGAGAGCTGGGAAGAGGTTTGGGAGGAGGTGCGGGAGGAGGTTCGGGAGGAGGATGGCCAAAGAAAGAGCCAGACCCAGATGATGAGGAGGAGGAGGAAGCAGAGGGAGACAGCAGATGGGTGCATATGGGTTAGAATGGTGAAGAATGCAGTGAGGATGAAGTAGGTGTTGGCCTCTGTTGCTAAGGCAGACGGGTACGCCAAGCAGAGATACGGCCCTGCAGGCAAGCAGAATGAAGGAAGGGGGGTTGGGAGATCGGGGAGGAGGAGTCTTTTTTCTAGAGGGCTAAACGATTAAGTCTGTTGCAAAAGCAGAGGGTATGCCAAGCAGAGATACAGACATGCAAGCGAGCAGGAGGCCGCAAGCTACCTCCAGAACCAGCCAGCCTACGTATTGCAAGCAGGACGCACGCACCGCACCGCACCGCACAGCACAGCACAGCCCCCACACAGTACCACCACACACACGTACATGGAGGGCCCTTGGAGGGAGGCAGGAGGAGACTGTCCGGGTGCGGCTTTAACTGAAGAGCCGCAGCCATGGGAGGCGGGCAGCAGGCAGCAAGCTCGAACAGCGGCCACATGAAATGTACCTTTATATCATGCATTCATACAACATTACAGCCCACACACAGTGCCACCAGACTTACAGGGAGGGCCCTTGGAGGGAGGCAGGAGGAGACTGTCTGGGTGCGGCTTTAACTGAAGAGCAGCAGCCATGGGAGGCGGGCAGGAGGCAGCTAGCTCGAGCAGCGGCCATGGGAAGGGGTGGTGGGGGAGAGAGTGTGTGGTAGCAAGGGATTGCTGCAGGGAGGAGCGGGCGCGAGCCATGGCGTAGGCAAGCAGGAGGATGCCGGCTGGAGGGGTGATGGCCTGGGGGGTCAGGGCAGGGGGAATACCTGGGAATGGGGGGACGGGGCAGAACGGCAGGAAGGGAAGAGCAGGGAGAGAGGTGAAGATGCAGACATATGAAATTTGCACAGGCAGGAGGAAGCTAGCTCGAGCAGCGGCCATGGGAAGGGGCGGTGAGGGAGGGAGTGTGTGGTAGCAAGGGAATGTTGCAGGGGGGAGCAGGCGCGGGCCATGGAGTAGGCGAGAAAGTGGATGCCACGCTGGGATGATGGCCTGGGCCGTCAGGGATGACCAAGGTTGTGGGGAGGGAGGAGGGAGCGACGTGCGGTGGGGAAGGGGAAAATACGGGGTGAAAAGGCACAGTGGTAACTGGTGAGATGGCCGAGGTAGATGCGCCAAGGCAGGGTTGGTGGCAGCTAAGAGCAGCAGCAGGCGCAGCAAGGAGCAGCAGAAGGTGCAGCACGCATGTGTGGGAAGGAAGGAGGAGGGTAAGACAGGCGAAGAGAGAGTGGACTCACCAGCTGGCTACTGAACTCACCAAGGAGTGACAGCAGGGCGAACAGCCTTGCAGTAGGGCGGCAGAGCAGAGGGAGATAAGTGATGGCAGGTTCAGTGGCAGCGAAGAGCAGCAGCAGGTGCAATGAGGAGTAGGGTAGGGAAACTGGATGAGAGATGGATGAGAGGAAAGAAGACTCACCAGCTGGTTACTGAGAATGTCCTTACACCCACTTCACTTATCAAGGAGGGAGAGCAGGGCATTCCAGTAGGGCGGCAGAGGGAGATAAGTGTTGGCAGGTTCAGTGGCAGCGAAAAGCAGCAGCAGGTGCAGCAAGGAGGAGGGTAGGACAAGTGAGGAGAGAGGACTCACCAGTTGGTTACTGAACTCACCAAGGAGTGACAGCAGGGCTTTCCAGTAAGCGGGCAGAGGGAGCTGCCCCAATGCAGGGTCAGTGGCAGCAAAGAGCAGTAGAAGATGCAGGGAGGAATAGGCGATGCAGGCTGAGTAGACAGCATGGGCTCGTGAGGGGTAGACCAGCAGCATCACCAGTAGTAGCACTGCCCATCATGATAGCAGCGCATAAAGGGGTTTGCAGGGGCGGAAAAAGATAGAGGAAACAATTTCGAGGCGCCTCAAAAGATGGAAAATCGGCCTGCATTCTCTCAAATTACACCATATGGGGTAGACCAGCAGCTACACCAGCAGCAGCAGCTACACTAGCAGCAGCACTGCAGCAGTACGCATACACAGGCGGACAGGCGGGCAGCCCAGAGACCCTGCCACAGCTTGTGCCCCACCCTCATGTGACATGACATGCATGTGCATTCACGTTATGAACTGCACATACCATAGGGGGCGCGCAGCAGGGCGAGCTTGTCTGCCGCGTGGACAAGCACAAGGAGGACAAAGGCAGAGAAGGCGAGCAGGCGGGCAGCCCAGAGGGAGAAGGAGAGCAGGAAGCACAGCCACCCATCATGCCCTGCTGCTGCCAGTTCCGCTGCCACTTCTGCTGCCACTGCATCTCTGTCCTGTGTTGCTGCTGGCATAGCCATTGCTTCGCCACCACTGCTGATCCCTCCCGTATTGTCACCCCTGTCAATGCTCCCTGCTGCAGAAGCAGCAGAAGCATCTGCAGCAGAGGTGGAAGAGGAGGAAGTGATAGGGGCAGAGGAGGAGGAAGAGGAGGCAGAAGAGGCAGAGGAGGAGGGAGAAGAGGCAAGCATGGCGGTGCAGGCAAAGACGTAGGCTGTGAGGAGGAGTGCTGTGGTGAAGTGGAGAGCAAGGAGGAGGGCTGGATTGGGGAAGCGATGCAGCCCAATAGCTTGGCAGATGGTGACCTGTAAGGCAAAAGGGAGCGAGGAGGAGAGGGAAGAAGCACAAGGGGAAAGAGGGAAGAGATGACGAGGCAGGCTCACAGAGCAACAAACTGCTGCAAGTTTACAAGGGATTCACTTTTGACTTACAAGAGGAGAGGCTTTTGAGTCGACTCAAAAGGCAGGCTCACAGAGCAACACACTGCTGCAAGTTTACAAAGGATTCACTTTTGACTTACAAGAGGAGCGGCACGGGTGAGATATTAACGAGGTAGGATGCTGTCAGCCATGCGAGCAGATAGAGCAGGAGGCAGCCTCTCGGAGCAACAAAGCGGCAAGCCACGTATTTACAACTGACTTACAAGAGGAAGGAATGGAGCAGGTGTGATGTTAACTAGGTACGCTGCTATAAGCCACGCGAGCAGATAGAACAGGAGGCAGCGGTGGGTGTTGCGGAGAGTGGTGGTTGAGGGGGAGGAGACGAGGAGGAGCAGGAGGGAGGAGAGGAGAGGCCACGCGAGGAGGCAGTGAAAGGAGAGGCAGAAGAAGACAAGCGATGCCGTGCAGATTGCAGGGCCGAAAACGACCAGGGTGGCACAGAGCTGCTGAGATGCGGACGACCTGGGGGAGCCAGAGGGGTTGAGAGTGGTGGAATGGGTTGTGAGGGGCACAACAAGGCAGAGACAGAGGAGTTTTGAGGCCTCAAACTGGCCAGTAATAACTCAGAACAACGAGGCAGAGGGGGGGTTCACCACGACAAGGCAGTAAACTGGCGTCTGAGTCCCTTCCCATTGTCATCCTCCTCAGCGTCTGCACCTCCCCCCACCAACTCCTCTCCTCTCGATGCACTGCCTGCTCCCAGTTGCCTCAGTGGCACATCCCTCTCTCCCCTCCAATTCCCCCCTTTCTCTCCTCTCTGCTGCTCCCTGTTCTCAAACCCACTCCTAGCCTGTGCCCCCCCTCGCCACTGCACGCCTCCCACACCTGCCCCTCTCACTCTAGCTGCTAGTGCTTTTGCAACTACCTCCTCCTGCTGCTCCAGCTCCCATTCCCCTTCCCCGCCCTCCTCCTCTTCCCTCTCCTCCTCCCCAGCCGCATCATCCCCTTCCTCCTCCTCCTCCTCAATCACCTGATACAGAATCTGGGATGCTTCCGAAGCTAAAAGAGGCAGGCTCGGCCCGAGCCAGGCGGAGGTTTGGGAGGAACGTTGAGGGTAGAGGCCAGGGGTTGGGTGCAAGTGTGGGCGTGGAGCTTGAGACGAGGGTGGGCGGGAAGAGGACCGAGTGCGGGAAGAATGATGGGAGGTAGCGAGGGAGCGATGGGAAGACAGCTGGTGTGAAGGAGAGATCGGAGAGGGAACAGGGGAGAAGGGAGAGGAAAGAAGAAGGCTGAGAGGCTGAATAACAGAGAAGAGTTGAAGGGAGAGGTACGGGGATACGAGGAGCAAGCCATACAAAACGATATATATATATATATATATATATATGTATATACATGTTTGAGAAAGAAAGGAAAAAGAAAGCAAAACAAAACAAAACAAAACAAATAACACCCAACACCACCCCACTCACCAGTGCAAAGGCGGAGAGCAGGAGAGCCGTTTCCAGCACATGCAGCAGCTGCCGCGGATCCAGAATCTCCCTCACGTCCAATCGGAAGAGGCCAAGTGTCTGGCCCCACTGCTCGAAGGGCCGCCAGTGCTGTGAGAGAGGCAGCTGGAAGAGGAAGAGGGCGAGGATGTGTAGAGCAATGTATGCGCGCAACAGAGCACGGCGCCTGGGACATGGGGAAAGGGGGAGTGGGGGATGGGGAGAAGAGAAGGGGAGAAGAGGACGAAGAGGGAGAAGGGGAGATAAGGGGAAAGGAAGAGAAAAAGGCAAAGTGTGGGACAGAGAGGGGGCTAGAAGGGAACGAGTGTGACGATCACGTGCAGGTGCGATGTCTCAAAACCTTATGAGAACAATACTAAGGAGACCAAGGAACGAATGCGCGAATCATTTCACCTGAATGGCCGTAGGTCTAACAGGCGGGGTCTAGTCGCGAGCCACCAGCAGCAGGCGAGAATGTAGGGAGAATAGACCCAACAAGGCCTGAGAAGGGCGAGCGACGCGAGAATGAGGATCTGGAGCATCGCGGCCATGGCACCAGAAGGTTTCGCCGTCGTTCTGGCGTCATTAATTCCGTCTGGAGTGACGACATTGACGTTTAAGCTTCTCGATCCATCTGGGCCGTTCGTGCCACGTGGCATGAGGGGTTGATCTGGCTTAGCGAGGGGTTGCAAGAACGGAGAATCGTTCCTTAGAGTCGTGACGATAGCGCGTCACCATTTGTACTATCGACGCGAAGTTTTGCTAATGGCCTACTATCAGCCTGAGTGCTACAGTACAAGTCTGAATAGAAGTTTTTACTGTCTTTAGGCTCCATGGAGAGCACATCTCATGAATCGACAGCGACAACTGAAGCACAAAAAAGAGATTTCATTCTTGATGTGCAGTCTGACACGTTAGAGTGCCAAAACAATTCACAATATCTATCGTGGCATTTATTGTGTTGACTAACGGGGAATGATGAAACCATGATAAATTCATAAGCAGCTGCAGTTTGGTCTGGTGCAGAGCGGTTTCGAGCACAAAAACATCCTTGAGAATGTCATGGAGATGGACGCAACGGACACCAAGCCATGAATGAAACGAGGTCCTTGAGAATGCCGAAAAGAGCGGTCCACCAGCGGCGCGAGATGACATGCTGACAGTTCCGAGGTTCTGACAAGACAACTGCCCAACAATTCAGCCAATCCGCTTGCGCCAGGTTTACGTTTCGTTTCCGAACCGAACATGACGATGGCACCCATTAAAAAGTGCGCAAAGTGTACAGACTAATCAATAAAATGCAATTTGATAAAGATGTGATCTGGAACCAGAAGCAGCCTTACTATCCAGCTACCACTCCACTCTAATTTACAGGCCACAAAAATCTAGGTTTTTTCCTCCTAAGAAATAGAAGCATCTCAACCGCTTCAAATCTTTCTTCTATGTGACCGGATGACCTTCAGGAGAGACTGACAAGTTCAGATTTCAAAGCTTGCTCCGGTGTTGACCCTGAGAAGAACCAGATGCGCCTGGCCCAGATACAACCTGCCTGGATCGGCGCTCCACGGCACGCGACACCTCCCGGATGACCTCCTTGTCAAACACACGCGGCCGGTACAGCCAGCCCCCCCCATCCACCACCAGCGTTGCCCCGTTCACATACTTCCCTGGCAGGTGCAAGGCGTGGAGCAGAGAGGGGGGGGGTACGGGGATAGGGGGAGGGGGAGGGAAGGAGAGGATTGGAGGGGAGGGGGAGAGAGTGAAACGAAGGGGCAAGAGCTAGATTCTGCATGGGCCCTGGGAGGTGGAGGTAGGGAAGCAGCAGGTAAAGCCTGCCCCAGGTGCAGCCTGTCTGGATTGGCGTTCCTTGTCAAACACACGCGGCCGGTACAGCCAGCCCCCCCCGTCCACCACCAGCGTCGCCCCGTTCCATGATATACACTGCGACGCCCCATTTGCAATAGTGGCACATACATCTGTATGTGCCACTGTACAGCTGGATGTGTACAGGTGGGCACATGCATCGGCGTCGAAGCCCAGCTTTACGAATCCACAAGACCCCTCAAGAACCACTGCGTCAACAAAACCTCTTTCCTGTATATAAGCAGAACCACTACTTAGCTGTCTCAGCAGTGAGATAAACGCAGCCATGGCGATACCCCAGGCATCCCATATGCGCTGCATCAAGTTGAGCTCCCCGGCATCAATGCCCAGCTTTACACACCTGCATGACTGTCAAGACTGCCAGTGTGTATCACCAGACCCACTCACCCGTGTCTGCTGTGAGGTAGAGAGCAGCCATAGCAATGTCCCAAGGGTCACCCATGCGCTGCATCGGGTTGAGCTCCCCGGCATCGATGCCCAGCTCTGACGGCGCCAGCTTCGCCATGCCTGGCGTCGAACCTATCGGCCCCGGAGCTATCGCATTGGTTCGGATGCCGTAGTCCGTTGCCCACTCGAGGGCTAAGGACCGGGTGGTGGCATCCACTGCAGCCTGGGATAAGGGGAGGGTGGGAGAGAGAGGGAGGAGGATCAGTTCAGTTCAATTGTGTTGGTTCAGATGCATGTGTTGGGACATGCCCTGTAGCCCATGCCCACGCCAGCCAGGGCTAAGGACCAGGTAGTCACATCCACTGCAGCCTGAGGTGAGGAGGAGAGAGGGGAGAGGGAGAGGGGGAGGGAGAGAGAGTGTGCGAGTGGAAAGGTGGGGGATGGCTGGCCAACGTTTGTGCAAAGAAGCCTCAAAAAGGTCTACACGGACTCCTTACACCCCCTTTCTTTGCCCTGACACACACATTTTGCCACAACTCAAAAGCACCTCGTATGTGCACGCACACTAACACTCACCTTATCAGCCATGACGTGCACTTGGTACCATGCAGCAGTGTAGTGCAGATTACTGTAGGGAAAGCTCATCCACTCACACACCCACTCTCACCTTGCACCACTCTCCCCTTACCCCACTCTCACCTTACCCCACTCTCCCCTTACCCCACTCTCTCCTTACCCCACTCTCCCCTTACTCCACTCTCACCTTACCCCACTCTCCCCTTACCCCACTCTCCCCTTACTCCACTCTCACCTTACCCCACTCTCACCTTACCCCATGCTCACCATACCCCACTGTCACCTTAGCCGCCATGACGCGCACTTGGTACCATGCAGCAGTGTGGTGCAGATTACAGTAGGGAAAGCTCATCCACTCACACCCACTCCCAGCTTGCACCACTCCCACCGTGCCCCTATCCACCTTATCCCACTCCCACCGTACCCCATCCCGCCATACCTCTGTCTCACCTTAGCAGCCGAGACGTGCACTTGGTACCAAGCAGCGGTGTAGTGCAGAGTAGCGCTGATGTTTATAATGGATCCCCCTCCCTCCTCCTCCGCCCTGCCACGCGCCCCCCTCTGCAGGAATGGCCTGGCAGCCAGGCACATGTTGAATGTACCCACTGCATCTATGTCAAGGACTGGAAGGGTGAAGGGAATGAGAAGAGCAGGATGCGGAACGCGAAAAGAGGGTGGATGGTTGGGTGGCAGGAACGGCCTGGCAGCCAGGCACATGTTGAACGTGCCCACAGCATCTATGTCAAGGACTGGGAGGGTATAGACCATGAAGATTGGATTGAAGGCATGCGGAAGGGAAGGGAAGGGAAGGGAAGGGAAGGGAAGGGAAGGGAAGGGAAGGGAAGGGAAGGGAAGGGAAGGGAAGGGACATGTTGAGAATGGCAACGGCATCAACATCAGGGACTGGAAGGGCTGCCCAATGAGGGAAGAGAAACGGGAAGAGAGAGGGAAGGGAAGGGATGGAAGGGATGAGAAGGAACGGAAGGGAAACGGAGAACCGGAAACAACTTGCTCTATGCGTCTCTTCGCCTCTTCATGCCTCGCTGCCCTCTCTGCACCTCCCTGCACCTCCCTGCCCCCTTCTACACCTCTTTGCACCTCTCTGACCCTCCCTGCCACTCTCTACACCTCTCGATGCCTCTCTGCCCCCTTCTACACCTCTCTGCACATCTCTGCCCTCTCTCCTCCCCTCTCTGTCCTCTCTCCCCTCGCTGTCCTCCTCCCCCCTCTGTCCTCTCTCCCCTCTCTGTCCTCTCTCCCCTCTCTGCCCTCTCTGACCTCTCTGCCCTCTCTGCCATCTCTGCCCTCTCTGCCCTCTCTGCCCCTCTATTCTCCTCTCTAAGCCTAGAGGCATGCCTACCTGTTCGAAAGCCATTCACTGAAAGGTCTTCCGCAGCTGCCAGAAAGTTTCCAGCGGCGCCATTGATGAGAACGTCTAGGCGGCCGTATCTCTCCACAGTAGCAGCCACGGCGCTGTGTGCGTCTTCTTTTCGCCTCACATCACCCATGACAGGCAAGGCCTGAGATGAGAAGTGGGCGGTCGGACCAACAAGGGGAAGTTAGGAGTGTGTTAAGGCGGCCGTATCTCTCTACAGTAGCAGCCACGGCGCTGTGTGCGTCCTCCTTTCGCCTCACATCGCCCATGACAGGCAAGGCCTGAGAAAAAGGGGACGGTAGACAGGTGAGCGGCTTTGAGAGTCTGAGTCATCACCCATGACAGGGAAGGCCTGCAGGGTGGGTCGATAGACAGACAAGGGAAAACTAAACTGATAGCGTATGCCTGGAGTAGTAGGGTGTTTTTGAGAATTCTCAAAACACCCTGCAGCGTATGCCTGGAGTAGTATCTCTCCATAGCAGCAGCCACTGCGCTGTAAGCGTCCTCCTTTCGCTTCACATCCCAGTGATATGCAAGGCGTGAGAAATGGATGGTACATTTGACCAAGGGGGTGCTGAGACGATATTCATAACAACCAGCAAATTCCACAAGTGGTTACCTGGATTCCCTCCTTCGCTAGCTCGTCTGTTGCTGCTCGTAGCACCGCCCCCCTCCGACCCATGATCGCGACCGTAGCTTTGACACATCTCAAGACTCTGAGACTCAACCCACCTCGATCCCTTCCTTCGCTAGCTCGTCTGCTGCTGCTCGTAGCACCGCCTCCCTACGACCCATGATTGCGAGCCTAGCGCCGTGCCTGCCGAACTGCCTCGAGATCTCCAAGCCTATTCCCGAGCCACCCCCTGAAAGTCACACACGCCGGTCGCATTGTCAACAATAACAGGAGGTAGCCGCAATGATATGTTATTAATGTTATTGCTGCCGAAATGAACGGCAGCAGCAATCTCGGAAAATCGCCAGCAGGGAGACCAGCAGCAGCACGGTGAATCCCTTAGCTGAACGGCAAGGAGGAGAATAAACAGAGACGCGTTCGGAAGCGATAGCGGATCAACAGGGGAAGCGATAGAGGCAGTAAATGCGTTGGGGCACGGAGTACGACCGGAATTGGGAGGCGAGTGACTTCAATAGGCTAAGCGAGTGAACCAGTTAACAAATTCCGCTGAAGCTGAAAGTGGTGTAGATTCGAAGGGTAATCTGAAGGGCTCACCCGTGATCAAAACGACTTTCCCTTGGAGAACATTGGGTTTGAACGGACTTTCCTGGGACTCGCTATTGCCAGCACCGGGAGGACCCATATCGAAGCAGCGAAGCGGCCTAATCGATTCTAAACGGGACGCGGTGAAGCGAGGTGAAGGGAAGGTTACCCCTTTTGCTGCTGGGGGAGACTGAACACTAATTTATCAAGGGAGGCAGTGAGCAAGTCGAAGCACTCAGTTATGCCCACACCCGCAAAGATGTGAGTTGACCACGGGATTGAACACGGCGCTTTAGGATGCAAAGAGACACGGCACGTTTCAGTGTGGTGGAAACTCGAACTAAGCACATGTGCCGTGGTCGAGGAGGGTGTTAGATCAAGCTGAGGGAGGTCCTCGATACTACCAAAAGTAGCGTACAGCCACATGCATTTCACTGCCTATGTTCTGAGTTATAAAATAAAGTGAGCAGAAAGTGAAAGCACCATGGCATCCTCGGATAAGATCTAGGCAAATGAATGGGGCTGTTCCTAGAAATCAGGAACTGGAAAGCATGACGGGGAATCTAATATCTGGATTTGACGGGATGTAGCCTATGTTGTTCAGGAAATTGGGCCAGATCTTCAGTTCGGAGAGTTTGAGTTGTATCACTTGCAGTCATGTTAAGAATGAACAAGCAAGAATGGTGTGAACTATCGAGAGAGTTGGTACAAGTACAAAACCTAAAGGGGTTGTACCCCATGTTGGCTACCCCACTATAGCCTACCCATTATACCATAACATATATATAGTTTGACGCACCCCCATAAGCAAAGTGGATCACAAGACCAGTCAAGAAAAGCAATGCAAGCTCAGGGTGGATCACAACGTCACCACACACTCCGAGCACAAGCAAAAGGGCCACAAGGCCAATTCACATGCAGAGGTATATATGCAACAACAACAGTACAGTGATCACTACCTAGCAAGCGTAAACATGTTGGTACATATATATAGATCACAGTACAACCAAAGTCTACAGCAAGTGAGGAAACGTGCAGAAGCGCTGATGATCACCAGCCTGAAGGGCCTTGGTGAACACATAAGCCGTGTTTGCCCGGGTGGGCACGAGGGCGACACGAAGCTGACCACGCTGCTGCAACTCACGAGCAAGGAAGTAACGCAGAGCGATGTGCTTCGTTCTGTGCTCCAGCCTGTGGTCCTGACACAAGGCAATGGCAGCCTTGTTGTCGACGTACAGAACTGGAGGAGAACGAGGCCTCTCTCCCAAGTCAGTCAGCAGGTAGGTGAGCCAGCGTAACTCCTGTGCAGCCATGGCTGTGGCGTAGATCTCCGCCTCACAACTGGAGTTCAGAATAGAAGACGAGCGGGTAGACCGCCAAGAAAAAGAGCCAGAGCCAAGGCTGAACGTGTAACCCTGTGACGACCGCTGCGTAGCCAGGTCGTCAACCCAAGAAGCGTCTGAGTGGCCAGTGAGGACAACTGAGCTCCGCCCTCCAAGCACGAGCCCCATGCCCGATGTACTGCACAAGTACTGCAGTACCCTCTTCGCAACATCCATGTGCGCCTTTCGGTGCCTACTAGGAGCCACGTAGCGTGCCAGAAGGCCAAGAGGGTACGCAAGGTCAGGACGAGTGCAGGTCATCAAGTACATGAGGCAACCCACTAGCTCTGGGTATGGACCACTCGGCTTTACGGACTCGTCCGAAGGTGGAGCTGAGAGCGAGTGAACTGTACCCAGGGAAGTGGACTGAGGCGAGGACCAAGTGAAGCCGAAGCGCTGAAGGACCTGCTGCACCATGTGTGACTGAGTCAGTGTGATGGTGCGGCGTGCTCTGTCCCGGGTAATCTGCAGGCCAAGGTAGCTATGCAGCTCTCCAAGGTCTGCGCATGTGTGTCTCTTCTGCAGCTCCGACTTCACATGGGCGAGAGCCTTAGTGTCAACAGTGGCAAAGACCAATTCGTCGACGTAGAGGAGGATGTAGAACGATGTCAACGAAGTGTCGGTGCGCAGAAAAAGCGACGGGTCAGCAGTGGAAGGTGCAAACCCAAGAGCCGCAAGTGTCGTCCTCAGTGTGTCGCGCCACTCACGAGGCGCCTGAGGGAGACCGTAGACTGGCCGGCGGAGGCTTCACTGGGTAACAGGAGGGAACGACCCAGTGAAGCCAGGTGGGCAGCGCAGCCGAATCTCCTCGTGCAGACTACCCTGTAAAAACGCTGTGCTGAAGTCCAGAGAGTGAAGCTCGTAGTCACGCTGAGCGGCAACATGCAGCAACACCCGAAGAGTGGTCATCTTCGGGGTGGGGGAGAAGGTCTGGAAGAAGTCAACTCCCTATCGCTGACTGAAGCCTCGTGCAACGTAACGAGCCTTGAAGACAGGCGGAGAACCTGGCGGCCGCTTCACCCTGAAAATCCACATGCCATCGACTACGTTTGCCCCAGGAGGGGGAACTGCGTCGACGTAAGTGCATGTGGACTTCCAGGATGCCATCTCTGTGTCCATGGCTGTCTGCCATTGAGAGGAGTACTCACTCGCGGTCGCCTCAGCGTAAGAGCGCAGGGTCGGGATGTCTGGAGCATCCGGGTCTCCCTCAAGGGCAAGCAGCATGGCCACGAGATGAGGTGCAGCGGCTGCAAGACACTCAAAGTCCTCCTTCCTATCCTCAAGGACGTCCGTGCCAAGAGCACACTCACCCCCGACGGACGGAGGACAGACATACTCAGACTCAGCAACAAGACTTGCAGCGAAGTCTAGACGACAGGCAGTAGCAAAGTCAACAAGCTCAGAGACTAAGGCAGACGCAGCAGCAGACTCAAACGACGGATTAGTGACAACATTGGCTAGCAGACGCGTGACAGTGGGGTGAGCAGCACGAACCAGGTCAGACTCAGAGTCCTGAACGTCAGGCACAGAAGACGAAGGAGGAGACGGCAAGGGAACACGCTGTGGAATAGAGGAAGGACGAAGTGCCATAGCGTGTGTGCCAGGGACAGGAGGCGGACGCTCACGAGGAACACGACTACCAGTGCGACGCGCGCGAACAGGTGAGGCAGGATGAGACGCGGGCTCACGACGCTCTGTAAGCGAGTATGTCTGCTCAGTGTAAGGAGAAGGAGTAAGCAGTTGTGCGCCGAGCTGTAACGGGAGGCCAGTAGAAGACGGGAGGCTAAGAACCTGGCGAAGCACGGAGTCAGACGTTGGCAGAGACAACGGTGATGGCAGAGCAAAAAACAGTCGCGGCGGTGCAGTGCCACCAGTACCAATAGCTCGAGCGCCTCCAGCAGCTCCACAACCTCCAGCCCCATGGCCTCCAGTAGCAGCACCTCCAGCTCCAGTGACTCCAGCAGCAGCACCTCCAGCTCCAGCGCCTCCAGCAGCTCCAGAACCTCTAGCTCCAGCGCCTCTAGCAGCAGCACCTCCAGCTCCAGTGACACCAGCAGCAGCACCTCCAGCTCCAGCTCCTCCAGCAGCTCCAGAACCTCCAGCTCCAGCGCCACCAGTAGCAGCACCCCTAAAACCGGCACCTCCAGCCCCAAGGTCCCCAACTCCAGAGTCGACAGTACCAGCTCTAGGGCCTCCAGCAACAGCACCCCCAGAACCGGCACCTCCAGCTCCAGGGTCCCCAACGCCAGGGTCGACAGCACCAGCTCCAGGGCCTCCAGCCCCAGTACCTCCAGCAGCAGCACCCCCAGAGCCGACACCTCCAGCTGCAGGAGTAGTACTAGTCCCGGCAGCTCCAGTACGTCCAGTACGAGCACCTCCAGGACCAAAGACACCAGCACTCCTAGCGCCTCCACGACAAGCATCTCCAGCAGCATGACTCCTCAGGCGGATACGCGACGCAAGCCACTCTCGTGCCTGCTGTGGTGAGACAGGCCCGCGTCGTGAAACGAGACCCAAAGGAACGCCAACAGACTTAGCACCCCCAGGCAACGAAACCCCTCAGCACCTCACGGACGGGCTCAGCACCGTCAGACTCCACAGCCGCAGGCTCAGCACCCCTAGGAGTAGTACCAGTCCCGGTAGCTCCAGTACCTCCAGTACGAGCACCTCCAGGACCAGAGACACCAGCACTCCCAGCGCCTCTACGACAAGCAGCTCTAGCAGCAGGACTCCTCAGGCGAGTACGCGACGCAAGCCACTCTCGTGCCTGCTCTGGTGAGACAGGCCCGCGTTGTGAAACGAGACCCAGAGGAACGTCAGTAGACTCAGCACCCCCCGACCCGGCACCCTCCTGCTCAGCACCCCTCGACTCCGCAGCCGCAGGCTCAGCACCCCCAGGCTCCGCACTCCACGGCACCTCACGCACAGGCTCACCACCCCCAGACGCAGCACCCCCAGCAGCACCTGGATCGCTAGTGACCTCTACAGGCTCACCCACGGGGGGCGGGTCTACCTGAGACACACCGAAAGGAGCAGAACCCTGAGGGGGGAGGGGGTCTACTGGAGGGGGACCTGGAGCGAGGAAAAGCGGCGGGGGAGGGAGAGGGGCAGTGCGGTAGGGGAAGAGACGGTAGAAAGGAACCCACTCGTCAAAGGTGACGTCCTGAGAGGGGAAGCCACGGCGCGAGGTGGGGTGGTAAAACTGCCAGCCAGGCGCGTCAGGGACAAAGCCAAGAGCGACCTCCATGACTAAGCCAATGCGGCGCTCAGCAACCCCGTTTCGCTGCGGTGAGGCCGGAAGCGTGAACGACTGCTCGATGCCCTCCTCCTAACAGAAGGTCCGCAAGAGGTCAGAGGTGAACTCGCCACCTCAGTCAGAGCGCAGACGCAGGACAAGAAGGTCCTGGCGGAACATGCGGCGGAGCTGGAGACGAACTGCTCGGATCTAAGGGATCAGGTTAGCATGGACCTCACCCTTGGTGCGCAAGGGGAAGACTGTGGTGTAACGTGAGTAGTCGTCGACAACCAGCAAAAAGTACCGCTCACCACCCTGTCCACGAACGCGGGCTAGGCCCCACACGTCCAGGTGGAGGGTCTGCAGAGGAGCCTCTGTCGGCGGAAACGAGGAGGAGTGAGGAGCGGCGCGTTGCCGCCCCTCGACGCAAGGAAGGCAGGGCGGCGCAGGCGAGGCAGGGAGGGGAGGGAGAGACCTGGGAAG